CCATATTTTATTGACAAAACATTAAACGAAATACAAACCACAAAGCATATGCAGAATACATACAATGATAACAATAAACAATATATACAACTTACAATTCATTACATACGAGGCGTTTCGGAAAAAATAAAGACAGGAAAACAATATAACATAAAAACATTCTTCAAAACACAAAATACGCTTAAATCCATTTTAACCCACACTAAACCAAATTAGCTGTCACATTATAACATCCATCTACATAGCTGCATATTAAACATTTTTTTTATTATTAAATAATATATTTTAGGCAAGCATATTTAAATTATTTTTTTTTTAATATCAAAACAGAGATAAAAAATGTATATACCTCTGTGGCGAATTCATCTCTTCAAAAAAGTTCAAAATGGATATTTCGCCACTTCCACTTCTACCATATTTTATTGACAAAACATTAAACGAAATACAAACCACAAAGCATAGGCAGAATACATACAATGATAACAATAAACAATATATACAACTTACAATTCATTACATACGAGGCGTTTCGGAAAAAATAAGGACAGGAAAACAATATAACATAAAAACATTCTTCAAAACACAAAATACGCTTAAATCCATTTTAACCCACACTAAACCAAATTAGCTGTCACATTATAACATCCATCTACATAGCTGCATATTAAACATTTTTTTATTATTAAATAATATATTTTAGGCAAGCATATTTAAATTATTTTTTTTTAATAACAAAACAGAGATAAAAAAATGTGTATATACCTCTGTGGCGAATTCATCTCTTCAAAAAGTTCAAAATGGATATTTCGCCACTTCCACTTCTACCATATTTTATTGACAAAACATTAAACGAAATACAAACCACAAAGCATAGGCAGAATACATACAATGATAACAATAAACAATATATACAACTTACAATTCATTACATACGAGGCGTTTCGGAAAAAATAAGGACAGGAAAACAATATAACATAAAAACATTCTTCAAAACACAAAATACACTTAAATCCATTTTAATCCACACTAAACCAATGAACACTGGACAACAAACAAAAAAACTATTTTATTTTGTAGATTTTCAGTGCAAGTGGCGAAATACTCATAGGACTTTTGTGAAGAAATCAGAGATATTTTTACTGATGTAAACTAATTATAACTTGCAAAATTTACTCCTATTTACTATCAAGAGCTTAAAAACACAATACCTGTCACCAGCAGCAAAATATTCGGTTAGTTTTCAGTGAACAAAGTTTGAAATTCAATCAAACTATCGATTGACCTAGTTGAGGAAACTTAATTCAAATTTACTTTTTTAATTAAAAATTACTCCCAATCGTGCCCATTTATGTAATCAAAATTATTATAGATCGGACTTGAGCTATTGAGGTCAATCGAGCGACACGTATTTTTATTTAAATAAAAAAGGATTTAATTTAAAAATTTCAACGTCAAAGCTTCAAAGCTTTTTCTGATATTTGCGTAAAAAGGGATTATAAACTCTGATAACTTTTTACAGCAGATTTTGGTAATGTTTTACTTTTTTTCGGAAGAATATTAAAAAATTTATCAGAAACAAAATTCGAACTAATCTGCATTCGACGTGAGTCTTCTAAAAGAGGGAACAATCTCAAAGCACGCTGAAGTTTCCAATGGATCTGTTTGAAACCAATGCGGGTTACTAAGTTCATTAAAAGTTATCTACAGCCCACATGATCTTCATATTATTTGAAAGGATGTTTAGTTATACCCAGCTTAATTTGAAAACATATTTAGAGATCTATAACGCAGTTTTACATGTTCCCACATATAATACTCACTCTACTTTGAAAACAATTGGAAAGTTCTATATATAACCACAAAAAGGATAAAGCTCAAAAAGTTTATAGTCATATAACCAACAAATATACGTAATAAAAAAGAAATAGTTTGAGATTTGTTAGTCTGGAGGATAGCAAAAAATCTGATCCCTCTGAATGAGTAATAAAAATGAGCTTTTTGAAATATCAGGTCATACTTTCCAACTTTAAGGCCTTCTTTATCACAAATAAAACCCCTTTTTCGGCCGAATAGCGCAGATAGAAAGTTATTGAAAAGTCTAAAAAACTAATACTATTACAGTATAGGCTTGGTGTATTCTCCGCCGGTGCTGCCACCATCGGAGAATATCGTAAACAATCGATATATACAAATACACAGGTTATTATTTAATTATTCTAAAAGTGTTAGGAAGTATAATTTGTAAAAATTCTAAAAATAAAAAAGTAAATGGTTTGATATCTGAAGACGGTCTAACTTGTATTATAATTTATTATTCCAGTTAAAACACTTTTTAGATGAGTTCAACTACGGTAGCGAGCATAGTTTTACGCACCGGTTTTGCTAGTGGGGCATAATTGGGGCTATTTTGGCTATAACGAAATTTTTTAAAGGTACATAATTAAAATTTTAGAAAATGTTAATAAAACATTTAATCTAGTGGATTAAAAAAAGTATACCATTAATATTGCAAATTATATTTTATCCTCTCTGCGTGAATCTTGAATTTATTTGTGCTTTTGATCAAATTGGTATGAGAAACTATGCACCTATAAAATGTCGTTTCGGAAGAGCTGAATATCCGGGAAAGTTGAGTTATTGAATGTTATTACATCCAACAACGCCATAATTACGCTCTCCTTTACGCGTTAGCATTTTTTCGGCAATCTTATTAACATTTGAAATTGTTCACTTATTTTTTACTACCCGAAACACCGTTACATCACACAAACCTCGTACCTGAGTGTTTTATAGTCTCAATAACTGCACTAGCAAAAAACTAAAATACTTAAATATTATGACGAAACCACGCGATTTGAATATTATTTTAATGCGATCAACATGACGCACAGTGCTTCGTCCCACGGACAAAAATCAAAAAATAAGTTAAAATTTACTAATATCTGAATATATAATTTTATATCTATAGCAATGTTCAACCATCCTGTATATTATTTTTCATAAACAGCGTTTTTTAGCAAATATTTTCACTAAAAATAAATTTTGCGATCATTATCTCATCAGTGAAAAGAATAACATTCATAGTAGTTCTGTATATTATGGAGTTAAACGGGTACGTACTTAATTGAAAGCCACTATGGATATTGTTAAACAAGGTATGTACTTTAAATTTATTTCTAAACAAGTTCGTGATTGTTTAGTTTTTATTTATTTTTAAGATGATTCTTAAATGGGTATAAAAATTTTACGTTTTCAAACTTCAAAAGGCATTTAAAAAACATATCAAAACATATCGTATTTATTGAATATTTTTGTTGCCATATTCATACACTTTTAATTTTTGTATAGTTCACCTGCGTCTGCTTGCGACGAACTTTATTTTATAATACTTTTCAGATGGAGTAAGATTGATAAGCAATGCCGATCTGGCTAATACTTGGCTTGATCATAAGGACAAGAACTCAAAATTATTAGTATTTCAAAAAATATGTTCTTATTAGATATTGATGAACCTTCCAGTCAAATGAGACACCACTTGTGCCTGAAAAAGTCCACTATGTTGGAGCGAAACGTCGAATAAAAAAAGTGTCCATCTTTCAGTTTATTATAAAATCTCATACCCAAGAAAAGGAAAAAATAATATATGCATATGGTCTATTAAAGAGGTAACTATTAACATCCGAACCCCTCATACCGACAAAATGAACAGTAACAACGCGAAAAAGTAACATATTAGAAAATGATGTACAGAAATATCTTATATGTGAGGATACTTCATCTACCTGTGATTTAGATACTATAAATTTAGAAGATTCTGTCAGCAGTGATTCTCCTGAATCAGAGTAGTTACGATCTATGCATTTTGTTGTCCTAAAGTAAATTTATAGCATCTTAATTTTTTTTTTAATTAAATATAACATTAATGTTTCTTTTTCATTAAAGAAAAACATTTTTATCTTATATTAGGCTTATATTGTAGGAATCATGTTCTAATGTTATTTCAATTCTTTTTTATCACAGAAATTTATTTAATACTTACACCGTTTTCATACTATAACTTATTATTTGCTTTGATGGAACACAGCTCCAACATTATTATTATTTATAAGGTTTTTTTTTCATAAACGTGGGACTAAGAACATCATCATTTAGTACAATGAGAGTACTCATCATTTGTGTCAAATAAACCTAGTTGATTTTTGTCCTCTAGAGCCATATGTTCGAAGCACTGTGTGACGGCGCGGCGCCGTGAAGTACATAATTATAATTTCTGATTTCTGCCGTAGAGTACGCTGCGATCGGAATTTGTTGAAATCAACTGAAATGCGCCAAGCCTATACCGTATTGATAAAGATGAGTTGTTTTGTTCAAGGCCCTAATGCTTTTTTTTAATTTAATTTGTGATATTGATGCCTACACACTTTCTCCTCGCTTGAGATGTTTTATAATTATAAAGAACAAAGCTCGTGTGCTAAATTTAGTTTAAATATATTTGATACTAAGCAAGAAACAAGAGAGCCAGAAGCTCTTTATTGAAAACTTTAATATCTTCTCGAGTTTCTTTGCGAAAAATATTCATATTTCGTGATAAAGTATTGAATAGCAACTCTGAACTGAAAATGTACAGTTTCTTTCACGATCTGATTTATATTTAATTTGAACTTCTCGATTTATTTGATTCGAAGGCATGTTTTTCTCTTTTACCAAACGAAAGAATTATTAAACGGTAATTATTATGAACTTTTCGAACTGGTCGAAAAATTGCCGTTTGCATTCTAAACAAAAACGAGTGGGTAGATACGCTCGCACCCACGGTTTTGAATCAAAATTTAATTTTAACTTTATTAAATATTTCAACAGGAAAAAGAATACAATTTCGTATAATTCTTATTTTTAGTTATTCCGATTTCGTATAGGCATGTGTCAGATTCCACAAAGTTATCGGGTTAAGTCACGTTAATCGTAACGAGACAAATTATGATTTGAGACTTTTTTCCCAGACGATATACAACCGATCATTTCTCTTACGACATGGCCGAGCCTCAAGAGATCCTGTATTCAGCGGACATGCCAGAAGCTCAAGAAGAAGAAGAACCAGTTATAGAAGAAGAGAGACCTAGAGGTGGCATTATCACCTTCCCGGACCTGCTGGCACCTGCCTCGAGACCAGGACCGGAAGGACAGGTGGCCCGATTCGTTTCGGACCTGGTACCCTACGCTAGAGCACAGCCAGCGCCTAGAATGAGGTCGCATACGCCTAGCCTTTTTGATAGTAGCGCCCTTCGTGTGAGTAGGAAGGTAAGTACCTAGTCCTTTTAACCTTTCGGAGGTCGCGCTTTATTTGTTACATGAAAGGGTCGCGCGCGGACCCTAAACGATGTGCAAACGTACACTTCTCATAAAATATGCAGAGACAGGGAGATACTAGGCGGCGCACACTGTTGCGCTCAATGGACATAATTCAAAAATGCATGTATTTATTTTTGGGTTTGTAAATACACCTATCTTTAGAGGAATGTCTGCTGATAATAAAAATAGAATGTTCTTTTTTTATTGTTTACGAATTCCAAAGAAACAGAGATAAAGAAAACGAAAAATAATTTTGTGCGTTAATTGAAAGATTAGTGTAAAATTTATTCTCTAAGAGGCACTTTGTCATTTTAAGTTTTTTATTATTTTTTAACATTAAGGAGACTATGGATATTAATTTAGAAGGTAAGCAGTCAGTTACGTTATTTGCCTTTAGTATTTATTTAATTAAAAAAAAAATTCAACTTTGACTTAGAATTACAAAAAAATATATCAATATAGTCCGAAGAAATTTTGAAAATAAAATCTTTAAACAATTTAGTTTAAAATGATAACAATCATTTTTGCGGAGATTTGCGGAATTTGCTATTTTTCTATTTATAGAACAATCCTCTGCTATTCCCAACAGCATGTTATACGAAAAATGGGTAACTTGTAAAAAAAATAACTTGTAAAAATATAATATAATATATAATATATATATATATATATATATATATATATATATATATATATATATATATATATATATATATATAAATATAGTAATATAAAATATAACTTGTAAAATAATAACTCAGTTTATAATCATCTGCTGATGATGCTAACATGGTTAGCGAAACGCGCGTCCAGTGTAAAAGTAAAAGTGTTTTGGTGTATTGTGGTGATTTAGTGTTTTTATTTTGCTGTGTAACACCAAAGGTTCCAACCCTCAACTGTAATATTGTAGAATTAAAATAATATACATCATGTTTTGCGCATTTTTGCGATTTTTGTTAATTTTCTATTTTTAAAGAAATCCTCTGCTATTTTCAATTTAGGATTTTATACCAAAATGCCAAATATTTATTTTTTAAATTTATAATATATTTTTTTAAGTTTCTAGCACATTTTCAAAAATACGTCAAATGTATTAAAACCATAGCAAATTCTTTAACCCTCTAAGTGGGGGTATCATCCCCCAATTTATTTCCAATGGAAATAGGGGTCAAGTAATATTTTATTAAGAGGACTTTAATTTATCTATATAATGCTGGTTATTTTTGATTGATTGAATGATGAATTAATCAACCCCTTAGGAAAATAGTGGGGTTTGAAATTGGGGGATGATACCCCCACTTGAATGTTGAAGATTTCTCTATGGATTTTACCCTAAAATAACGTATTTTTAAAATTTGTTTAAAAAACCTTCCAAATTTCTTGATATAATTTATTTTGCATTTTTTTCCTTATTATTGATATTTCAAACCTAATATTTTCAATAGGGGCTTATCGATTTTGGAGAACTATACACCAATATTTAGGTAAATAAAAGACCTTTTCAATAAGGTATAAATTGGCCCCTCTTTCCATGTGAAAAATTTTGGGGGATGACACCCTCGCATAGGGGATGACAATTTTGCAATCATTTTTGGAGCAAAAGTTGGCTCTCTTTTAAACAAAGTAAATAAAAATAGTCGCAATAATTAATATTAGTTTGTTTTCAAAATATGAATTTTGACCCAATTCCCCTATAAGGTGCAACACTGTGCGGCGCAGCATCTGATGTTTCCAGATTTTCGAATTATCGGGAAAAATAGGTACTTGCGGACCTCCGGATTGTTAAATTAGAACCGATATTTATTTTGATAAAGTTTCAACTTTTGGTTCAAATTGAATAATTTTTTTCAGGACGCATACTCTGGTTACATACTGTAAGTCGCACGCGCAGTATAATGTTATATATCATCTTGATGTACTGATGGTCCGCCATTAAAATTTCAACGTTAACCTCTAATTAAAAAAAATACATCACCTAGTAGAGTAGCATCAATGCATTTTGCAAAATATGTCGTATTGCACGTTTGTCATTTGGTGTTACATCTAGGTTACTTAAGTGCTAAAGTCAATCATAGAAACTAACTGTAGGTAAATCTATGATAAAAGCAATTGTTGAAACTGAGGGCTGGACATTGGTTTTATCATACAGAAGAGATTCAACAATAAATGTACCTATATTAAGTGTATTTTTAAAAAAATATTAAAATAAAAAAAGCCTATCGAAATGTTTATCTCTTCGACTTCGATAGTACAAAATGTCATTAAACAATATATACGAGGTTACGAAAAAAAAACAGAGAGACTTAAAAAAACTGATGACAATATTTTTTCTAAATTAGCTGGTACGATCAGGAATCGCACGTATATTTTTAATGATGGGAGCCCTATTTTGTACCTTCGATTTACTGAATGTAGTATAGAATGATAGGCTGTATCATAGAGATTAATAATGCTTTTAACCATTTACTGTATTCTTAAACGTATTTCATGAAAGTTATTTCTACAACAATTAAATATTAAGGTAAAATTTGAGGCTGAATTTTAAATTATAGATAACATATCTGAGACGTTTGAACCTGTATCATTTCCTTGCATATCCCTAAAATATCGCCTCACGATTTTTATTCTAACATACGATAGAAAAATATCTATTCCGAATTTTCATACACTAAAGAAAGAAATGTTTAAACAGGTGTGTATGGTTGAAAATACTTTCAATGTTAATAAAATGTCGTGTCTTCCGTTTCACTAGGATAAAAAAATATATCTCGTTGACACATTGAGGTTTTTGGAAAGTCTACCTCCGAGTGTTTTCTCTTGAAAAATTGAATAGAATTCCCTGTAATTAAATTGAAGAATGAAGACGACAAAAGTATAATAGGACTAACATTCCCTAAATAATTTTTATATAATATAAAATTAAATAAATTTTACAAACACCAGACTGTTGTCAAATATTCTGAACTTTCTGATATTTCGACCCTAGAAATTAATATCAATAATCTGTAGATAGAAATGAACTTTTACTGTCTTCAATACCTTGTGATTTTTAGCTAAATCATTTTAATTCAATACATTTGTTGTTAGTGTAGAAATTCTCTGCAAAAAAAGGAAATTGGAAAATTATGTTTTAGCTGAAAAACGAACTATATATATATTTCTATTTAAAAACTTCTAAAAATTGTTGCTATATATAACAAACAGTACAACTTCTAAATGTACCTAACGTATCAAACATACGTGTCATTTAAGAAAATTTGTATTGGGTATCGTGATGACTTGACAATAACTTATTTGCCTAGATATAATACTCTTACATATAATATAAAACTGAAAAATCTTTTTAAAACAGGTTCTGTGGAATTCTAACTAAAATAGATGTTTTCAACCATTCTATATAGAATTAAATATAAAACTATTTATTATTACATATATATAATAGCACTTTGATAATAAAAGTGCGTTTTATCTGGCTAAATATTTTTAAGAAATATAAAAAAAATCAGGTGTTTAGTCTTTACAACTGTTTCAGGTTTAAGCATGCGTATATGTACATATAATATTTGAAACCAATATAAAAAAAATGAGACAATAAATTTTCAGTCAATTTTACAAATGGGTACAGGTATTTGTATTAAAGAAATTTCGGGGGCCCAAATTTGTTAATATGAATACTATCAAATTCTAAATAACTAAAAAAATTGGACGTATTTTCATACAATAACTCTTCGCCATCTGGTCAGTACAATGACACTAGGGATTTTACGAAAATTGATTTGTTTGTAAATGACAAAAATCAAAATATATCCCAGTTTTAAATACCTCCCCCCTTTAAAAAAAAATTAAAACACGTAAAACATATGTAAAACATATCTTAACCTTTGTATCTATCATGATAGTGTTTGTCTTTTGGTCTGCATTTTTTTCTGTGATGCTGACAATACATACTTAAAATTGTAAATTTAAACTTTTGAAAATCTAGCCATAGCCACAACATTCAGAAATTACATATTACGTATTTTATATGTAAAATGTTTGTATATGCATATTTCTCCGAAACAAATAAATTAGAGAGCAAAGCAAGCAAGGGTATTGTTTTATTTTAAACCCATTACTCCTTAAAAAAATCCTTTCATTCCTTAATAATAAATAAGTTCTACGGTGTTTATTTCCAACTGAGAACGCGTAAATAATAACAACCAAGTTCAGGTTTCTTAAAGTATATACTAAACAAAACAGAAATAAATAGGTTGTTAAATAAAGAGACGTATAAATGCTGCGAAAATGCTTAAAAGCAATTCTAAAACCAGGAATAAACGCCAAAACAAACTCTTTTGTTTAGCGTAAAATTTCCTGGTCAACTGGCACTGAAAAGGAATATAAAGGTGTAAAGTAGTATGAATCATAAAATAGGCAGAATAAATATACCTTTATATTTATTTTCTTTTTAGAGATGCAGTTTATTTGGTTAAAAGAAACAATACACGGTTTTAAAATGTAATATGCAAAAAATAATCAATATATTGAATAATAATTTTGAGTTAATATTAAATTAATTCTTAAAAATTCCTTTCGCTTATTTAGAATAAAGAACCAGGGGGATAAAAATAAAATTCATAAATTATCTAATAGCCATTAAAAATATAATCACATTATTATAATATTGTGTATTATCACAATTAAACATTTCAAGGCATTAAAAAATCAATAAGTTATCAATGTATTGTTATTTCTTTAAATAATAATTTTGTTCATTTATGTTTGTTAATGATGGGGCGTCAAAAGAAAATGTATATTATTTTGAAAGTGTGATAACTTATTTAGAGAACTAACTAATCATGTTTCTATATATATTTACATATTTATTTAACATAAATTTACATTATATAATCTCTGATAAAAAAACTTCTTGAACTTTTCCAGCTATAAACTTCTGAAGAGGTAACAAACTTTTAAATTAATTTTACACATATTATTAGACAGATATTCCATCTTTAACCAACGTACCAGCTTTGAATTAAACACAAGAGACTGATAAAATAGGTCTTAAAACTTTGTACATGTAAATCTACAATAAATCAAACTCTTACCTTAGTATTCAGCTATTTAAAGTGAATATTTCATCGTCTTAGACTAATTGATTCTTGTAAACTCTGGCAGGATCACTTTCTAGAACACTGTCAATACTATAAACTATCACTAGAATTATATTGTATTGTTTATGTATTAAAATAAAGCTATTGTGATTTTTTACAACTTTCTTTACATAGAAAAAACTCGGTAAAAAAAATAGGGTTAGAACGCTCAATGCTTGACAACTCTGGAGAAATCATAGATATAAGTGGAGAGAGATTTATATATTTTATATGTATTAATCTATAACTATCAAATTTCAAATATGAGGCATATGCAACCAGTAATTCTTCAAAACTATATATTTAAAGTTTATTTTTGTATTATTTATTGATTTTTCAATAGAGATGTATGTAACAGTTTAGTTGATTATTTATTGCATTTATAATATTTAAATGATACTTAGATATTAAGGCTACCTATGTAATCATAGTGGAACTAACAAATCTATAGTAATGTAATAAAGAAATGGGCAAGTAATCAATACCAGAAATTATTACCATTCAATAGCTAATGGTATATGTGGTGTCACCCTCTGGTGTCACCTTTTAAGGAATATACATAACATAAGAAATTTTCACATCAGCACCATCTGTTCGTATAGAGATATATTTTACTTTATATACCAGTGTCATATTGATTTTTCGATATGTTTGAAATTTCTTCGACATTATTTATCATAAAAAGTAATTTAATAATATTATAAGAGTATTTTTTTTAATTGTTTAAGCCAAATAAGTATTTTAATTTTGAATAATCCTCAATAAAACATTAAAACGGGCATGTTAAAAAAGTATTCTTTATAGAAATTATTTGAAAAGCAAAACACCATATATATTATTCAAATGAGTTCTAATTTTAAGGTTTTATATTATTAAAAGATTTAAAAGGTTTGAGTTTGTATTATTAGCATATAAAATAAATTTCGTAGCTGCGCATCTTTCACATTGACGTGATGAGTTTTTAATTGGCTTATTTCCCTTTAAAAAAATAAAAATATAATAATCTTTATATCGATGTACTTAAACAGCCGTTAAACGGTAGCCTACTAAAATGCCGTTAATAGATATTGTGACGTCGTTCATGTCGGCGGAAAGTAATGCCTAGCCATAAACCTATTGCAAGAGCACCCGTGGCTCCGTGGCTGAGACTATCGGTTCGTGAGCGAATGGTCCAGGGTTCAAATCTCACGCTGACCAAGACTTTTTTATATTTTTTTGCTTATAGCGTGATCTTATCGCATTGGTTTCACTCTTTTTGGTTGGATTGGTTTAGTTATTTGGCGGGTTGGTTAGCGTGGTTATTTGGAGGGTGTTAATTCATTGGTTAGTTGGTTATTTGGTGGGGTTGGTTGGTTTTTACTAATTTATATTTGTTTTTTAAATTGTTTTATCAATGTCGAGGTTAGTTGCGTTGGTTAAGTTGGTTATTTGGTGGGGTGGATAGCGTTGGTTAGTCCTTCTATAATTCCTATATTTCATAAAGCCGTCAAGTGCGTCACATCAACGACGTCATACCTATTAACGGCATTTTAGTAAGCTACCGTTTAACGGCAGCTTAAGTACAGCCTTTTTATATATTCTCTGTACTGATTTCATTCATTCAATTTCTTTAACTTTTATTTTTTAACTATTCCTAATAGAAAAGGGCAATAACTGTTCCCTTCCAGTTTCCCAAGATCATTTTTTTTGTTGCCCTTTCACTACCCATACAAATTTGTTGTTTAGCCTCACCCTTTGGAGTGTGGAGTAAAGAAAAAAGCTTAAGGTATACGCCCACTATAAAAGCTGGGCTTGCCAATAAAAGAATGCGTAAAAGAACAAGTATCTCTACAGATTCAAGGGTATTCCTGTATTTTGTTACTGTCTGGATTGTTTAATTTTTTTTATATAAATACAGAGTTTTTATTATATTGTAACTAATTTTATAAATAATATTGCGTATGCAGACGCTTTAACATCTAGTTGCACGAATCTTCAATCTATTATACTTTGTAACGTTATGATATTCATTTATATAATTAATAAAATAATAATAAATAAATATTCTAAGTAGCATATTGAGAGTTTATTTAAGCATTAGTAGAATGGAGGAAAAAGGGCACCGCATGCGCGAATCTACTAGATCAATAGTGCATCACGTGGGAAATCCTGCCCTCAGACCTGCAAATGAAACTGATGGGGGAAAGCCAACATCAATCCTGCCGGCGAGCGGTTTTAGGGGTAGACTGCTTGTCGCTTAATGGAAAATCAATATTTTATCACGTTTTGAACCCCCCATGTGATCGAGGGCAACATTCGACCATTTACCCAACCTTAGGGCACTGAATTTCGCGTGTCACATTGTGCGTGAACGTTATTCAAACACGACTTCGTCCGAAAACCGCTCAACAGTGATACTGTGCTAAGTGTATATCGAAACTCATCAACAGGTAGAGCCCAGCATGCCTTGTTCTCAACCATTATTTTTTTATCGAGTCGTAGCTTTACTGTAGACTAATTAACGTTGTTTATATGACAAAAATCAAGGCGACATAGTTTCGTAGATCCTTCCTAGTTGCTAAATGTAGTGATGGTTCGTTGAGTTCAGTATTTGTCAGTAAAATGCAATCAAATTCTGGCCCTTCGAGCCGGGACATCATACGGCTCGAACCTTTAGGAAAATTTAAACAAACTCAAAACGGCAATGTCCTTAAGCAAGGTGGGTTTGTGCATTATTACTTAGTTTTAGATTTAAAGACTTCTGCCTCATAGTTTGGTCTTGGAATTTCCAAAAACATCGATCGTTAATAAGCAGTATCGTTTAGTTAAATGCCCTTTAACTTAGTGAGAAAATTGCATGTTGTTTAAATTAGGATTGTGACTAACAGAGCACGTGCGAAAAAGTTACCCTCTACACAGTGGCGGGCTTCATTTTGTAATTTTTAGATAAATACTGTTAATATTATAAAAAAAACTTGCAGTAACATTAGGTAGATTAGCGTTATATATACCACAGATTATACAGATTATAATCTTTGTTTTTTCTTTATTGTTTTTCGTGGTTCCAATTTTCGGAATCGGGCACTAGTTAGGTGACTAGTTTGCGCACATAGCAAGCCCATTTATGACCTCTAAAATTGTGCACAGCGCCCGACCGGCACAGTTATTAGAGATATATCGGAAAACCGAATAGCGTCATCCAGTATTTACGCGTACCTTATCATGGTTACGATATGCGCGAGTCAATTTTTAACGCAACACCCGCTGATAACGTTACCGCCTGACGTAATTTGCGGATCAATTACACCAAGCGCTCTTTCTAAATAACCTCCTGATAACGTTTAAAAATTGCTTAAATGGGCATGTGCGGGTATTTGACAACCGGAGCCGGCCGGCGAGATCTTTTATTTTAGGTTATGTTTGAATTATTTTGAATTATTGCTTCAGTTTTTTTAGGTAATTTGATATTTAAGTAGCTGGGATTAGTTTTAATTAAATAAATATGGTCCAAAATATGGATTCCACCTCTTCCAATACTAAAGAACCTATAAAGAGTCTTAGGTTTACAGCAGATGACGACTTAGCCCTTCTAAGAGAATTTGTTGCGTGTTGCCCTAAACCCACTGGCAGACGTTGAACAATAAAGCACTGGAAATAAGCACTTTAGCCCTTTATTTTTAAAATACCTAGTAAACAAAACAATTTCAAAGTTTTAAATTCAAAGTTAGGTTAAGTTTAAATAGCGGCCGCGACGCGATCAGAATTCTTTCCGATCCGATAACTATAAATGAAGAGAGTTAATACCACCTCACGTAAAGGAAATAACACCTGGCCTTATTAACGTCCATGCACGCTATTCGGTTTAGCGATATCTCTCTATTACGCTGTTTATTGTTATTTTACGCGAGTTTATTTTTGCGCACAGGAAATTTTACTCGTTTGCACATCGTCATAAAAAACAACTTTCGAATTAGGGACAAGATTTTTATCTGTATACATATAGGATACCTAATCGGTGTATATACCTACTTGAAACCATTTCCATTTTTTCATATCACATTTCAATCTATAAAATAGTAATTTCTCTAGAAAGATTGAAGGATATCCCAAATTTATAGCCACACGTATATTCATGTTTATTTGTCAGAAAATTACAATTTTTTTTAGAAATTCAGGCTTTAATTAAACCAATTTCTTACTGTGAATGACAAGAATAAAATGTTGAAGAGTTACCGATTGAATGAGTAAAAAAACAAAAACACATAAGAAAATTATTACAAATACCGAGTATTATACCCCCCGAGGTTCAATTACACCTAAGTCTGCGACATAATTTTGATCTCTACCATCTTCATTAAAGCAATCAACATTTTGTTTTTCTTCACAGTATAATAGACAGATGGAAACTTTCATTTTTAATTTAGAAGGAGATACTAAAAAGTCAAATAATTTAGCTATAACTTGGTTAAAAAATCATCAAAATCGGTACACTAGAACAAAATGTATTAAATTTTCAAATACATCAAAATTTTAAGATATTTTAAGTATATTAACATTGTTTTATAAACATTCTGGATAACTCCAGATACATTAGCACATTTGAAATACGTATATACTAAGTTTTAATGTAATCTCCTATGCAGGATGTTCCAATAATTAGAGAAAACGTTATAGAGAAAACATTATAATATATATTTATATTAATATTTGAGTGATAGGAAAAATGAGGAAAAATAGTGTACGCCACTGGAGAAAATTAGGAAATCCCTCGCGCGAAAAGGGTCGTGCGCAGAGTCCAGCAGGAATGGCGCAGGACTTGTGTGCCCCGCCGAAAAAACAACAGTTACACAGTCGACCTTATCAGAACACTCGATCAGAAACACGTTCCTCTATTAGACACTTAGAAAAACACATATATCACGAATAGTACAATCGAAAATATCAAAATTACTATTAGTAGCGCGTCCGACCAAATTAGCCGTGTCCAATTAGGCGTAGCATGTAGGAAAACTGGACATCTTAAGAGCCAAAGCTAGTGAGAAGAATCGTTTAGTGTGGAGGGCCCCAATCAGACCCGCGATCCCTTTGTAAAGGTTTCGGTTGTTACTGGACTCCAACACGTAGAGGCAGTTGTCTGGCGACGGGATCACAGAGTGATGAGCGATCAGGATGTTGACGATGTTGCGTTTCTTACAGGTACAGGTACAAATCATGCTCAAATCACCCACTCCATCTGTCAATCATCACCCCTCATTCATAACCCCTGTGACACAGGCGGCGGTGTTGCAGGAACGGACAGCCCCACTGGTCAGCCCCAGAAGAAGAGCCTCTATGAGAATAACGGGGTGGCTGCATGCAGCCACAACAGGGCGCTCTGCATCGCCACCATTGTCTTCGCTCTACTCTTTACCATTGCCATCATCATCGCTTTTACAGGTCCCCAGAGTGGTAAGCAACTTTCGTTTTTTACTAGAGTAGCTTAGAGCTTTATAGAAACAACAAAAAACTTATCTTTAGAGTTTTCTTAACCGAGCATGCATATTTAACCATCTGTCTATTTAAATTTTCATTAAAGGAACTCTGTTAATTATTAACATCAGATTGTCTAAAGAAATAGTATTTTTAGAAACTCAAGCTTGAATTAGGCCAATTCTTTACTTTAAATGGCATAGTCCGGAAAAATTTAGTATACAGATAAAAATAAAACAAAAAGTTTCTATACTAAAATAACTATAATATATACATACAGGGTGGTCCGAACTGTATTCCGGAAACTTCGGCATCATATTCTGCAGATAATAATAAGTAAAAAAGTTGATATAAATGTATGTCCTAAAATGCTTAGTTTCGGAAATACAGGGCGTTCAAATTTCATTTTTATTTCGATTTTTTCCAAATAATTTCTGAAGTAACGTCAATATTTGGATGAAAGTTGGAGTTTTTTGACATGAATTGTGATGTCAATATGACTCCTACTTGTAGAGGGCATCACCTACATATTTTTAACTAGTTTGAGAAGTTATAATTTTTCGTACGTACCTGTATAATTTAACTGAGAGAAAAGTCTCTTGATAAAAATCGCTACCGAGTAATAGTTCTCGATATATTTTGAATCGAAATTATCAATACCTGTCATCGTTGACATAAATTAAACATGTTGAAAATATCTATTAGACTGAAATCATAAATTTGAAATGTTTTTCAGCAAAAAGATCATCAATTTCACCAAATTTATCATCATTTTTTCGAAGAAAAAATTTTTGATTAATTTAAAAAAATAAAAAGTTTCCAAATCTATCATTTCATTCTAATAACTATCTACTCAACATGTTTATTTATTGGCAATAATGACATGTATTGACTATTTCCATTCTAAATATCTTTTTTTTACAACCAAGAGACATTTTTTACGTAAAAAATCACGGAAATGTATATTTTTTTACTCGATAGTTTTATACAGGTACGGACAAAAAATTAATACTCTTCAAAACAGTTAAAACACATGTAGGTGGCGCCCCCTACAAATAGGAATCATATTGATACCAAAATCAAATTTCTCATGCCAAAAAATTCCCTGCCATCAATTTTCATTCAAATATTGACGTTACTTCAAAAATTATTAGGAAAAAATCGTCATAAAAATAAAACTTCTACACCCTGTATATCCGAAACTAAGCATTTTAGGACATACATTTATGCGAATTTTTTTACTTATATTTATCTGAAGAATATGCTGTCGAAGTTTCCGGAATACAGTTCGGACCATCCTGTATATTTGGCTTTAATTAAACACATTTCAATGCCAAAGCGAATGGCAATAGCGTAAAATTCCGTAACAGCCCTGAAAGGGTACAATTTTTATAAAAGTATTCTAATGCTATTGAACTGACTCATAAAAAATAATGAAAATATTCGTTTAAATTGCTTTGGTGAAAGAAGCTGAGTAAACCGTCTAAATTTTAATGCTGTTGCCGTTCCAAGTAAACAGAACGACCCTTCTGTAACACTATAACCCTTAAGTATTTTGATTCCCCGTTTCGATGTCTATTCAAACGCACCCTCCTCGAATATATACGCGGTCATAGTTAAAATCTTGCCATTTTATACGTCCCTGATCGTCTTGAAACATAAAATATCTTCTAATTTTATCACGAATTTATTTAACTTTAATCTCACTATATCAAATTATTTCTCTTGGTAATATTATTAAAAGTTCGTGACCTTTTACAAATTCATATCTGTAATAAAACATTTGAAACTTTGAGCTGATAGTCTCTATAAAGAGTTTTCAATGAAAAAGCACCGCATTAGCCTATTTGAAGTTCCTCCATAAATTTGAAGAGACAAAATACCGCATTGCGCTGTTGAAAAGGTTCTTTCTCTGCAATATTATTATAGAATATAATTTAATTAATATTTTTGAAGTGAAACTTCTTTACGCGCGCCGGGAGCAAAAATTCAAGGCCATGACACACGAGCTAGTGATAACGAAAAGTGGTAACACACAATAAACTATTTTTTTACACGTAAATTTAATTATTTAGATTTTAATTTATTACTTTTCAACATTTCAAACTACGTTTCTTCAAACATGTCCTTCAAATCCTTCAGTTTAATAGCTGTTAGTAAGAAGTTTCCACTTTAAGTATGCGCATATAGGGCACACACAATTTTTTTAATTTTATGTTTAAATCAAATAAATCTGGATAATAAAAACACGATAATATTACTAATTTCCTGCAGTGCAGTATATCAATTTTTATATCGAACTTATATACGTGTACCAAATTAAAATTCTCATATTTGAAACAGTTCCAAAACTTATGTGGATTTATTTATGAAATTTCGAACAATTTTTCGTATATTTCCAAACAAAATTTAATTTCCCGAAAGCTTAACTTTATGTATACAAAAGAAATATATTTAATCTACTTCCATAAAAAAATTGCGTGTTTTTTTAATGGAAATACGGAAACAAAGTAAAAATTAAAATCCCATTTAGACCTCCATGAGTAGAAATGAATAAATAAGTGTTTCCTTTATGAATAGTTGATCTAAAACAGCCCCTAGCTAAAAGCTTAGGCTTTATAACAAAAGATAAATAATTTTAACGCAAAGTACACGAGAAAATGTAATTTTCCTTTTACCGTTTAGATATTTGAAGTCAAAATTTATTAAAACCGCCTAATAAAATATTTACTCTGTTTTAAATGCTGACAGAACCAGACGAGCGAAGCATTATGCTTATAATTAAGCTGTACGTGTGTTCCTAAACGGGGCAAACAAAGGCAAAAGAAACTAGGCCAAGTGAAGTGCTCGTACGTGTTAACGAAGAACGTGAAGTGTTACTTGGCTTAAAAATCCAATCCTGAACCCATCGCTTATCAACCCTTTTCTTCCTGAGAGCCCTCGAAGGCAAAATTGCATTTTCCCAAAATATGTCAACTAATGTTCAGCCGCAAATTAGGGAAAAAGCCTAACAAAAGAGGGTTCGGCGGAAGAACTCTTCAATTGGAGAAAATAGAAGGGATTGCACCCTTTTTTCTCTTATCGATTTTCAGTTCATGTCTTTTTGTCTCGAAAAAAAAACCTTTTTAATTTTTATCACTTGGAGGACGATTCGACTAATAGCTAGTTGTCAATCTAATTAAAATGGATCAAGTCTAATTTCTTAGTATTTTAAGATAATCGTCTATATACATTTATAAAATACTAGCGTGTACCAGCGACTTCGTTCGCGTCGAATTAATCATTTGTAATGATGATGATAAAGCAAAGCAAGAATTTCCATTAACATACAAACTACGTCAAGCAGTTTAAGCAGAATCGTGGTTAAGAAATTACCCAACTTTTTGGAACACCCTGTATGATTTTTTAAAAAAATTCAAAATATGTAAAAAAACAAATAAATTATGCTTGCCCAAGCGTTTTCCCGAAAGACTAACCGTTTTTTAAATAACAAATATTGTAATATTTGAGGGGCGTTTTCACCCTCTTAGAATTTGAGATTCGAGAAACTCCTCCTTATCGAACCTCTACACCCCACAGTTAATCCGTTTGCCAAAAATCAGCTTTAAACGTCAAGCAGTTTAAGCAGAATCGTGATTACTCAATGGTCATATTTTATGAAACACCCTTACAGCAGAGGGTTGGAACCTTTGGTGTTACACAGCAAAATAAAAACACTAAATCGCCACAATACACCAAAACACTTTTACTTTTACACTGGACGGGCGTTTCGCTAACCATGTTAGCATCATCAGCAGATGATTATAAACTGACAGTATATTTTTCCTTTTATCCCGCCTATATACCATAATTTTTATAAAAATCGAAGAAAACACTATTAATAGACAATGTAAAGTCAACAAATTCCCTAATGACGAAGAAGAATGTACCGATGAACCAATTTATATCTAAAATATCAAATATTTTCAGAGATAAAATGGTTCAAGTCCAAAAAAGTATAAACAAACATTCTTAAAAATGACCACAGTTGTATTTTGAGTTACTTTAGTTTGCAATTATACAATTGAAAATATATTAAAGCATTGTGTCAAGTTTTCTTCTCCAGCTTGTTTTATTTTAATTAAGTTACATTAAAAAAACTTTAACTCTCATTTTCCCCATAATTATCTTCTAGGACTTGATCCAGTTCACTTCTGAACCCGTCACTTAATACAATGTGTGTGTTATTTCTTTTGACAACTGTTAACTTCTTGTCATTGATATACTCTTGTAAAAAGCTTTATTTACAGACTGCACATGTGCGGGTGAAAAACCTCCGAACTATGTGGACGAAGGTACAAACATGACACGAACTTTTATTCCAAAGGCCACCAACGGCCAAATATTCCCGTGGAACAATATTCGTCTTCCTACCACCTTGAAGCCATCTAGATATAATTTAACCATCCACCCTAATCTGACCACTTTGGAAGTGAGAGGTATGAACACCATATAACATTTTTGAGTTACTCTAAGAAGAATATTTTAGGACAAGTATACATTGAGTTCCATTGTGAGAAAGACACCCATTTCATTGTTCTTCACAGTCAGAACTTGACTATCTTAGATAAATTAGTTCAGGATAAGAGAGGTCATAACTTGACCATAGTTAAAATACTTGAGTATACCGGAGGGCAGCAGTTGTATATAGAGACTAGAGAGAAATTCAAGAAGCGCCATAATTATACGTTAACAATTAGGTTTAATACAAGACTAAGCAAAGAATCGTATGGATTTTATATATCAAGCTACGTTAGTAGTGACGGTGATCGAAGGTAATGCTCTATTTTATGTTAAGCCGCAGAAATAAACGTCCCTGTTAATATTTTATACGAACCCGAGGAAAAATGTTCACTGCCAAATAATATTTCAAAAGTTTCTCGCAAATGCGACAGATGAAAACGGCAAGACATAATTCCATGTCTGGCAGAAAACATTTTTCTTTTGAAGTCGCACGAAAAAATGCTTGTTAATAAATAAAAAACCTGGAGAGCTCATAACAGAAAATTAGTTTTCTCTCTCCGTAGGCCACAAGGTGTCATTGATTTTCTTCTAATAGCTTTGTGTTATCGTGTTTCTATGTAAATAATAGCATTTAAAAACAAATATACAAACAAAATATCGAAATCGTGATTCGTAATATCGCCTTTCAAAACACTGGAATTTCTGGCTAATGGATTAATGGTTGGATGCCTCGAAACATACTTTAGGCTATCGTATTTTTCCATTATTCGACCTGGGGAAAATTCGGAAAAGCCGGAATTGTCTAGTCAGATGTAAAATCGTATTTTTCTCTGTAACGCGGACTAGCCCTTGCTTAACAAATATATCGATTACTCGCTTTTTTGAACGGGGAGAAAATGGGAAAATTTAGTTTCACCCTTACTGACTTCGACGGAAATTGAACTGAAATTGGAATATTCTCCCCCTTCAATCCAATCAATTTACTCATTTTGGTTCTGAACCATATATTCCGCAAGTTATTCTGTGTAAAATATTCTTACTTTCGTATTGTTTCATCATCATTTTCAGCTCATTCAGTCGTTTCCAGTTATGGTGTAGCTTTCTTCACATATTTAGATACTCTCTTTGTAGTTGATCCTATTGGTTGTCTATTATTGGCTATGCGGGCCCAAGTTATCCCTCCTAATTTCCTAATTTAGTGGTCTCATCTCATGTTTGGTCTTCTTCTAGGTCTCTTAATTTCTCGTCGGTACCATGCTGTAATTTTTGTGGTCCATCTGTTGTGCGTCCTTCTTGCCAAGTGTCCTGCCTATTGCCACTTGAGGGATTTGATTCTGTGGATGACATCTATTACCTGTGTCTTTTGTGGTATACACTCTATTCTTTTACGGGTTTTCTTGGTTATTCCCCGCATATTTCGTTCCATTGAGCGTTGTGCGACCTGTAGTTTCCTTATGATTTTGTTTTAAGGGTCCAGGTTTCGCATGCATAGGTCATGACTGGTAGTACACATTGGTCGAATGTTTTCTTTTTTAGATAATGTGCCATTCTTGATTTAAATATTATTGAGTTTCTTCCATAAGTACTCCATGCTAACTTAATTCTTCTGTTGATTTCTCGTAATAATAGTCCCAGTTGTGTGTTATTAGTTGTCACAAATAAAATATTCTTCTATTATTTCCAGTGTTCTGTTATTTATTAGAATGTCTTTTCTGTTTACTAGTTCGTTGTACATTACTTTAGTTTTTGCTATATTCATTTTGATACCTTTGTCTTGTGATGATACATATTTTATAGCTCTAAGATATTGTATTTTTTAGGTATCTGGCAACCACAAATTTTGAACCAAAATACGCTCGAACTGCTTTCCCATGTTTCGACGAGCCACACTTCAAAGCAAAATTCAAACTAACTATTTTTAGAGACAGATTTCATATTGCCCTTTTCAATACGCCAGTGGTGAACACAGATGACCTAGGATTTTACATGGGCACTGGCCTGGTAATTTATACTACTTTGATGTTTGTTTTGATAAAAAAAATATTTTTTTTAGTTACGCGATGACTTCCAAGAAACCTTAGAGATGAGCACTTATCTTGTAGCCTTCATCGTATGTGATTATACAAATTTAAGGAAAGAAACTGAAAGAGGGCTGTCTGTATCAGTTTATACACCCCCGCCGTCAAAAAATCAAACGTATATAGCTTTGAACACGGCCACTCATATCCTGGACTTTTTCGAAGAGTTTTTTGGCATACCATATCCTCTACCAAAATTAGGTAACTATTTAAAGACTATAGGCTTGGTGGAATTCAGTTGATTTCAACAAATTCCGATCGCAGCGCTTCAACGGAAAAAATCTGAAATTATAAATATATAGTTAACGCCGCCGTCATGTTGATCGCATTAAAATAATATTGAAACCGTGGTTTTGTCATAATATTTAAGTTCTTGTTTTTTTGTTAGTGCAGTTATTGAGACTATAACACACCTAGGTACGAGGTTTGTGTGATGTACCGCTGTTTCGTGTAGTAAAAAATAAGTGAACAAGAATTCGAACTAGGCGTCGCGTCGCGTTGTGTTGTAACAATTTCAAATGTTAATAAAATTGCTGAAAACATGTTAACGCGTAAAGAAGAGCGTAATTAGGGCTTTGTTGGGTGCAATAACATTCAATAATTCAACTTTCCCGGATATTCAACTCTCCCGAAACAACATTTTATAGCTTCATAGTTTCTCACACCGATTTGATCAAAAGCAAAAGATTCAAGCAGCTGGACGAAACAAGTGAGTAAACAAAGTGCTCGTTACATAATCAAAAAATTTACGCTATGAGAGGATTAAATATAATTTGCAATATTAATTGTATACTTTTTTTAATCAACTAGTTTTTTTAATCAATTAAATGTTTTATGAACATCTAAAATTATAATTATGTACCTTTAATAAAAATGAAATAGCCCCAATGATGCTGCGTTAGCAAAACTGGTAATTAAAACTATGCTCTCTACCGTAATTGAACTCATCTAAAAAGTTTTTTTTACCTGGAATAATAAATTATAGTACAATTGAATTTTCACAAATTACACTTCCTAACACTTTTGGAATAATTAAATAATATATTTTTCGTATTCTCCCAATTTAAACCCGTGTATTTGTAAGTACTAGTTGTTTACGATATTCTCCGATGGTGGCAGCACCGGCGGAGAATACAGTAAGCAGCAGGCTAAATAAATTTTTTGTTATATATCCACGATTTTAATATTATTTCAGTGCGATCGACATTAACGGTAACTTTTCCAAATTTTATTAAAAATGCTACTTTAGTCGGGCATTTCTAATTTCTACCGTATCGAACGCTGCAGTCGGAATTTTTAAAATCAACTGGAATGCACCAATCCTATTACTATTATACAGGATTATTACAGGTTTTTATGTGATTTTTTTTATTAGATTTGGTGTCTATTCCAAATTTTATTGAAGACGCAGCTGAAAACTGGGGTTTAATAACATTCAGAGATATTATTTCTTATGATTCCAAACAATCTTCCACGTCTGCAGAACAATGGATAGTTAAAACAATAACCAGAGAAATTGTTCAACAAGTAATATAACTTTCATGACATAAAATAAACATTGTTTTAAACAATTTTTGTTTGTTTTCAGTGGTTTGGTAACTTGGTGTCGATGAAATGGTGGGACAATTTGTGGTTATTCCATGGCTTTGCAACGTATCTAGAATATTTGGGAGTGGATAGTTATTATCCCAACTGGAGAATGATGGATCAATTTATAATAGACAAGACTCAACCAGCGATGGCTCTAGATGCTCTAGTGAGCAGTCATTCTATAAATATTCTTGTACAAAATCCTTCCGATATTGATAATATTTTTGATACTATTTCTTACAGCAAGGTAAATAAGTATAAGTCAAAGTTAAAACACGTAATAATGTTTTTTTTCATCAGGGCGCTGCAATTATACACATGCTATGCAACTTTTTACATGAAGAAGTTTTACAAAACGGCCTTAATGATTATCTTACAACGTACAAGTATTCAACCAGCGATGCCAAAGATATTTGGAACATTTTTACAAGAAACACTAACCAATCTTTGGACGTCAAAGTAATATATTCTAAAAGATGTAATTTATTATAGATAATATTATTTAAATTTTTGTTCTAGACTGTCATGGAAACGTGGACACATCAGATGGGTTTTCCATTAATATCAATATCCAAAGAGGGTAACGAAATTTTAGCCAGTCAAACTCGTTTTTTATTAACAGCCGACAGTGGTAATGCTACTCACTTGCAACCAAAATCAAAATACGACTATAAATGGTATGTCCCCCTTACTTACATTACCAGTAACGATAGTGAGGTGGTCAACAGTGTTTGGCTGAATATGACCGATGGTAAACTCAAGAAATTTCTTTAAAAATATCTGAAAATGTTTCACTAATTTCTTTTTCAGTGAGATTTGAAGTTGATCCAGATATTAAATGGATCAAAGCTAACGTTAATCAAAGTGGTTTTTATAGAGTGACCTATGACGAAGACATGTGGCAATCTTTAATACAAATTTTAAAGAAAAATCACACTATCTTCAGCACAGCAGACCGGGCTAGTCTTATTGATGATGCCTTTACATTATGCAGGTATATTAACCCAAAAAGTGTTTAGATTTCTTAAAACTTCTATTTTTTTTGCTTTTAGGGCTGGTTTACTAAAAGCAACAATTCCTTTGGAACTCTCCTTGTACCTTGTTAAAGAAAGAGATTACGTGCCGTGGGCCACTGCCATTGAACACTTCCAAAATTGGGCAAGGAGAATGTCAGAATCACTTCCATATAAACTCTTCCTTAAGTATATGAGATATCTGCTCAAGCCTATTACACAATACGTAGGATGGAAAAGCTCGGGATCTCATATAAATCAGTAAAAATCTAAAAAAAAGAGAATTTTGAAAATATATAAAAATAAACGTTTTTTTTTCAGGCTTATTCGTTCCAAGGTTTTATCTGCTGCTGTCCTATGTGAACTAAACGAAACAGTAACTCAAGCGAAGGTGCTGTTCCAGAAATGGATGACCCATAACGAAACGATAGATCCAAATTTAAGAGAAGTAGTTTATTCTTCGGGTATAAAATTCGGCGGTATGGCGGAATGGCAATTTTGTTGGAATACCTACAACAGCACAAATATCCCTAGCGAGAGAAGACTGCTTTTAAAAGCTCTGGGTCAGCCTAGAGGGGATCCATGGTTATTGCAAAGGTATTGTACTAAACAAGTGTTAAATTTAGCTAAAAGTGGAATATAATATTTTAGATACTTGATTGAAACTCTAGACAGAAACACCATACGTCCAGAAGATGTTACTATAGTGCTGGAAGTTGTGGCAGCAAATCCAGAAGGAAAGCTCTTAGCCTGGAGGCATTTGAAAGCCTATTGGCCGACAATGCACTCTTTATTTGGTAACTCTACCTCCATGATGGGTAGTCTCATATCAGCTGTAACCGCACATTTATCTACTCCTTATGATTATTACGAAGTAAGAAAATACAGACATTTTTTGCCTAGCGCATTCGCCATTTTATGTGATACTTGCAGGTTACCACTTATTTTACTGGAATGAACGTAGGATCCGCGTCAAGAGCTCTACAGCAAAGCCTGGAAATTATCCAATTGAACATTAACTGGCTCAACAAAAACAAAGAAGATATTTATACTTGGTTACGTAAAAACTTAAATTAAATCTGTTCATTTTTGGACTAGTTTGACCCATCGGGCTTCAATTCTAACGCAAGATTTCAAAAGATGACCTGTAAATCCTTGCAACTCTCCCTAAAATATCAATTAAAGAATGCCAGATGTGTCAAACTAGTCCCTTTTCATTGTGATGTATTTATTTGATTTTTTTTTTGTTTGTGATCTTATATTAATTGATATTTTTCTATTTTTATAAATGTATATAAGGAACAAAAATATAGATGTGCTATTTAGTATGAGATGAGTTGTCAGTGTTAATATTAAATGTGAATTAAATATTATTTTTATACTAGATAAAAATTTTTCGAAAATTTGCCTTCAGGTGACTGATGTATTATATTATTTTTTTATTAATCTTAACTCAAAGCGCATCAAAAGAACTACTGGACTAAAATAGATAATATGTTTTATCTATATTTTACCATATACTATACGTAAAATAATCATTATTTACCGTTCTTATACATTACTGCATATTTTATGAAACTAAATATATTTTCCAGTTCCTACAAAAAAAAGCTTTTTATTTTTGAATTCCTTTTGTATGCTAATCAACACAATTTTAATAAGATTGCTAATCTTTAGTGGGTGTAGACCAAAGTAATAGAGCTTTGTTTCTACGAGGTATTTATTTTTTTTCTAAATAAGACAGTATTACTCAGAACTATTACACAACACAAATCACAACCTAATCGTAAATTATTATCTATACCCTATTACTTTTCGAATGCACATAATATTTGTTAATCAATTTTATGCACTATGTAGTTGAAAAATTAAAAAAAAAATAGATTAAATAAAATAAATAATAATCTAAATTAGTAATTTACTTTAAATGATTCTTATAGTCCTCTAGAAATCTGAATTAAAATAAAAATTAAATAAAATGAAATAGGTAGAAAAAAAGGAAAATCAAATAGAACTTATAGCGATTAACAATAAAACTATGTCTAGCGAACGAAATTCAATCCGGCCCTGTAAATTCTTGTCCGTTATTGAGCTACAGCACGGCACACTATCTAAAGTCGTACCGATACAAGAGTCGTACTCGGAGTCTCAATGTTAACAAAGCGAACTATTCAGTGCCAGTACCTATTGATAAATTTCGACATCGCATATTTGCGTCCGCGGTCCCAGTGCTCAATCCTTCAGTGCTAGTGCCCCCAGTGTGCCACATCACATCAGCCGAAGAAAAATGTTAAAGCCCTTAGACCTGCAGACCCTAAGCTTATTAAGCAAATGTTAGGTTAAGGTATGTCAAAATGTCGATGAACTTTTACATTTACCAGTTTACCCTACTTATCAAATTCTTCTCCTTTATCAAAAAATAACTTCGAAACATTTTTCTATGAATTTAATTCAACTGTAATACTTAAGATATAGTTTAAACTTGTTAACATATCGTTCTCGTCAAGAAAAATTAATTGATTGGAATTTGCCAAGCCTTCGTACTCAAGAAGGAATGCATAATAAATTTTACTCGTTTGATGATACCTCTTATTTTAATAATCGCTCGATTACTGGTCCAATTCTTTGCTATGTTGGTGTCCTCCAATTTAGATTTTAAATAATATTTTCTGTCAAATTGTGGGCTGATATTTTGCATGTGTGGGCTAGGTTTACAAGATCTTTTTGTTATTTATAAATAACACGAAAACTGATAGATATTTCGCAAGGTTACTAGAGGAATGTCGCAGCGATCAATGTATATTATGGAGAACCCAACAGGCGCATGGACATCAAACCTCTTTCCCTATTTTTTATTCATAATTTAATTTCCACCCTTGCGATCAAGTTTTTTGACATTTTGATTAATTAAACAATATTTTAAGACCCTACTGAAAATAAATAAGAACAATATTGTGTTATTTTATGGTCAAAAAGAGCTAATTTTTAACATATTTTCAAGAGAAACGAAAAAATTATCAAAGAATTTAGGTCATTCGAATTGAGAACGAATCAATAAGATATTTTTATGCAATATGTGTAATTCATTTCTACATGTTTGACTATAACAAGCATTATCATGTATAAGAACATTTTCTATGCTTCATAAAAAATATTAATCATGACAAGCATACTTGAATAAAATAATCTTTAAAAATTATGGTATTTCTATTAAAATTCGATGAAAAAATATGAAGAAATTTAAATACAAAATAGATTTAGGTTTGAATTATGGCGGTTTGTCTGAATAATATAATAAACTTTCGATATTTTAAAATATGATCGGTTGATTTTATCGAAAATTCTTTTATGCATATGCAGTTTTATTACTGGATATTTAAAACCAGTTTTAAAGTCGTCTAAACATTTGTCTCAGTTAATATTCTTGATGCTAAAGTTATAGAGGTTTCGACCATATCGTGCATTTTACTGATTCTATTTAGACTTTTAATACTTGATTAATACTTGACTTTAATGATGGTACTGTTAAGATTAAAGCAATTAAACTAAACTTCATATAAACGTCATATTGAACTGTAAAACAATTATTAAATAAGCAAAAACTGTCGAAATATACGTAGAAAATAGTTCTAGGTTTATATCGAAAAATCCAGCAGCTGACAAGGTTGGTTCCAGATTTTTCATATAAATTATTAGACAGCCAATTTCCTGTCTAAGCTTACCAATATTCAATTCTTCTTCAAAAAAGTAACATGTCCTAATAACTTCCCTGCTTGTTTTCTTCATACATTCAAATGAGTGTATTACAAAAGACATGTTAGCCTAAAACACAAAAAAACTGTTGTTAAAAAATAAAAATACGTAATAAACAATATAAACTATTATGTTTCTGTATTGCAAGAAGAAATAATGACAAAATCCTATCTTACGACAGTTATTATATTTCGATACAGTATGTTAAAAAGTTATGAGAGTTATGAGTTGCTGCATTATTGGTCATTAACTCTTAAGAACTGTTTGGGTTCGTATGGCTTATCTAAAACGAAACCAAACACCACAGATCACTTAACCTGAAAGGAAATTACGGCTCTTGGAAATATAACACGAATAAACCATAAACTACTTTTATTATCGTTTCTTGTTTTGTCTGACTACTGCATAGCGCACCTTTAAGTAGATTTATTAAGAATATAAAACTTGAAAAAAGCCTGTAAAAATACAAATAAATTGAATGCAGATAGGGAACCACTTACCAGGAACATTGAAACATAGTAAATTGATTCGATCCATACGAAAACGTCGTCCAAAAATAGCAAAGCAAAACTAATACCGTGAAGAGTATAACAAACAACAATTAAAAACATCATCAACAAATGCGTGGAGAATATGTTATTTAATTGTCTACATATTTCTGTAAGGTTCTTGTATACTTCTCCAACATATTTCAAGTCTTCAATATCGCGAGAAACTACAGCAACTCTCTGACACTTTTTCTGTTTTAAATATCTGTTTAACGAATTATATCTGCTTGTTACGTAATTTAACATATAGTAAATTAATATAGCGACAAACGTTGATAAATAATGCACCACTCTGAAAATATCGTTAATTTTATAAATGTTATAAACATTAATAATGAAATTCTACCTAAAACCTAGGTATGAGATAATTAAATCATATTTACTGTTCCCGAACCATCTAGCAGTTTGAATTATATGTGGTATAAGTAGAATAATATGAAAGCAAATATATTTGGTACAGAATTTTTCTTTAGGATCCTGTATATTTATACGACTTTTCATCAAATGCTCTGTTGTGTACATAAGGGTTCGATATTGTTTCCAATTCGATGTACAAAAATTTTGACACACATAAAAATACATCAACCAAATTAAACTGTAATAAAAAATAAATAAAAATAAAAGTTCTCCACTACACTGAACTAATCTCAGGATATGGTTTCAAAAACAATACTGCGCCTTAAATGCCATTATGAATATATAATGAATTTAAGCAACAGGGTAAAGTAATAGAAACCATTGTTAACAGGAGATGGAGTTATGTATGGGTAACAGACCCATGCATCATCCAACCAGACAAAAAATGACAAAGAAAACTAATTAATATTGTTTCTGAAATTCCGGTATAACTAAATAGAAAAATTCTAAAGTTATTGTTCAGTACTTATGCTCATACCTAAACGAAACCATTAAAAAATCCATCACCATACAAGACAAAGGTAATCTAATAAAAAAACTATATCGTATCTTTATACATATGTAAGATATCGGAATTAAACATATAGATATTGAAATGCCTATTTTGTTTATAAACTTATGCATTTTTCCAGTCCATGGTACTAATAAAATGTATTCTCCATGTTTGAGTAAGAATTTCAGACCGTACTTTTGTGTTTGCATTCTTTATATTTTTAGGGGCATCATTTTTCGAAAACTAATTTTGAAAGCTGGCGTTTCAAACATTATTAGAAAACTGGGTTTTATTAAGCTTTATTTAAAAAAATATCGTGGCAGGCCATCAATCAATGTTAAACTAACAATCTAACACGGGTATTAATATTATTTAATATCCCTTTTATAGATTAGAACGGTACAAAAGAAAGTGACACTATAAAGCGTTTTTTTTTTCTATCGTGAGCCATAAAAGTGTACACCATATTATTAAGCAATAAATTATACCTACATCTGACATTTTTTAACATTAATTGACAAATATAACTTGCATAAAATGGTAGGTATATTTGAAAAATTGTTGCTCAGATGTCAAGAAAAAATAACAACAAGCTTGGTAAAAAATGAAAGTTGGTCATATTGATTTCCATGTTAAGAGCTCATATTTCATCTCTCCATGAATATCTGAGGCCCAGAAGCGTAGACATTACAAATTATATCGATAAATAATTCAGATAATACTTCATAATATATTTCTCGCTTTATCTTATTACGTAAAACAGCTTTAATTCATCAGGGTGACTGATTTTTAAAAAGACGAGACATACCTACATAGTCAAAAAATCTCTAATAAATTCTTAAAAGACTTAATACCTCTCCGAAGACACGCTACTGATATAACTAAAGAAGGGGTAAGCTAAATGGAAGTGTTTTCGATATCATACAGTAATGTGAAAGTTTATATGTGCTTATACAATGCAAGCTTTAAGTATTTTGTGTCATTTCATATTCCTCTTAATCAGTAGTCTTGATAAAAATTGACACGATAGATATCGGTTAAATTCTTAAAAAATAATTAATTTTCTTATTGATTTTATTGATTAATTTTAAATATTGTAATTATATAAAATAGTCTAGATACTCAAAAAATAGAGTTAGACAAAACGTTTTTTATCCCGAAACCAAAACATTTAAGTTTTAATATTCTTATATCTTCTAAAAGTACATAAAATTTACTATAAAATCTGAAATTTTTATAATTTTATAACCATTTTTACTATTCTGTTAAGAGCCTCGAAAAATGGGTAAAAAATGGACGATTTTTCGACTTTTTTCCATGCCACACAGTCATGAAAATTGGCGATTTTCGTCATATCACCAATTTTGTTAAAACTGCTGTTATTTACTAACTAAAAGGTGTAGAATAAGAAAATATTGGCCATTATGGTCTTACGAGAACAGTAATGGATGTAAGAAGCGTTTTAACCATCATCAAAAATAGCCCAAAAACAAGGGTTCAAGAAATTAATTTTCTCACAAAACCAAGATACGTAAGCTTTGAAAGGTGTATATATTCTGAATCTATATAAAATTTCACACAAACAATGAATTTTTCATAATTTTTTCGCTATGGTTACTATTTCTCTGACCACCTTAAAACGTGCAAAAAATCGCCAAAAATGGGCAATTTTTCGACTTTTTCCATACATGTCCCATATTTCCATTGTCAAGTCACCGGTTTTGATATAACTTTTGGTATTAACTAACTAAAAAGTGTAGAACTCGAAAATATAGCCCATTTTTACTTTAAGATTAGAGTATTTGATGTAGGTAAGATTTTAACCTTCATGAAAAATTGCTCAAATTCAAGGGTTCAAAAAATCTATTTTTTCACAAAATTAAAGAAATTAAGCCCGTAAAGTGTTATATATATTAAATCTACATGAAATGTCCTACAAATACTGTAACTTGCAAATTTTTACGATTTTGTTTACTATTTTTCTAAGAGGTTTGAAAATATGAAATAAGCTACCTCAAACATTTTATTGTGATTCGAATCAAAATTCAGAAAAAATATTGTGATTTACCGACATTCAAATTTATGACAACAGTCTATAAGAATACAGTCGATAAAAAGTTTATGGTTGTTTTACAACATTTCTGAAAATGGGTAGGCGGCAAATATTCTTCAAAATATTTATTATTCATGGGTCTAATATGAATAAAAGAACTTGAAGCTTTTCATAGCTCTGTAATTGAAATATTGCCTCTATTTTAGGGATATAAGAGCAAGATATGAATCATTCTGTTGGGCTGTTAGAACGTCTTTCACCTAGGCCTACCACTTGTCCTTTAGTCCGATTAGGACATAACAGCTCTAGTACCGATGACACAAATACATCAACAGATGGAGGTGAAAAATATCAACCCTATCAGTACGACGAGTACAGCCAAGATGACCGAATATTCCATAACGGCCACACACTTGACGCTGGTTATATGCAGAAACAGCATGGTTCTTCTGATGAATCCGACTATATGGTAATATAATCGTTAAAAGAAAGTGGTACAATAGTTTAATTGTATATATTTTTCAGCCGACATATTATGACCAGCCTCATTCATACCTTAGTGAAGGCCCAGATTATCATCACAAACAAGATCATGCCTTATTGACTACATCAAATTTAAAGTATGCAAAAGGTTCCATTGATTTATCTACAATATGCTTGGGAACATCTTATTGGGAGAATAATCATTACGAAAACAAGGAAAGTGTAAGTGAAGCATCAAATCAATATTTCATACAGCAGAATCAACCTCACAACTCGCCATACATTTTCGATAATTTTCGGAAAGTTGGAAAATCTAGTCCTAGCCTTGACCAAGGCTACGCCACCTTGGTTACACCTGGTGGTTCCTCAAACACTAGCATTTGGGGCGATGGAAACCTCTACAAAGGAAAGAAATACCAGCCTAAAAACAATTCTTTTGATAAACTCCCAGACGACTTGGTCCTTAAAATATTTTCCTTTCTGAATAGTCTGGATTTAAGTACTTGTGCTCAGGTATGTAGGAGGTTTGATACACTTGCCTGGATTCCGTCTCTTTGGAGAGTGATTACGTTGGACGGTGAGAATATTAATGGCGATAAGGCGATCAAAGGTGTTCTTCGACAGCTTTGTGGTCAAGGAAGAACTGGAGCTTGTCCTAGTGTTGAAAAAATCCACATTACTAACGGCACCAAAATATCAGATAAGAGCTTGTTGCTCTTAGCGAAGAGGTGTCCAGAATTGACTCACTTACAACTGCATGGATGCACTAACATCACTAACAACGCTCTATTTGAAATCGCTACAAGATGCACGAACTTGCAACACCTGGATATCACAGGTAAACTCAAAACTAAAACCATTTAAATAAATACATATATTATTCATTATTTCGTTCAGGTTGTGTAAAAATCTCCTGCATCAGCATCAATTCTTTACCGGATGCTACCAAAAGGATGCAACTGCAGTATCTAGACCTCACTGATTGTGTCGTGATTCAGGACGGAGGACTAAGGATTATTGTAAGAAACTGCCCACAACTTGCCTATTTATATTTGAGAAGATGTATTCAAATTACAGGTACGCTTAAAAAGGTGTGTATGCTTAAGAAGCTAAAAAAATATATTTTTTTAGATGCTGGTTTAAAATATGTGCCAAGTTTTTGTTCTGGACTCCGAGAACTTAGCGTGAGCGACTGTTCCAACGTGACGGACTTTGGATTATACGAACTAGCTAAATTAGGACCAACCTTACGATACTTGTCTGTAGCGAAATGTGATCAAGTGAGTGATGCCGGTTTAAAAGTGATAGCGAGAAAATGTTACAAATTAAGATATTTGAATGCCAGAGGTTGCGAGGCAGTATCGGATGACGCCATAACTCTATTAGCTAGATCTTGTACTAGACTTAGGGCCTTAGATATAGGAAAATGTGATGTGAGCGACGCTGGACTACGAGCTCTAGCCGAATGCTGTCCTAACTTGAAGAAATTGAGCCTAAGAAATTGTGAGCTTGTTACAGATCGAGGGGTGCAATGTGTGGCTTATTATTGTAGAGGACTCCAACAACTCAACATACAAGATTGTCAAATATCCCTAGAAGGGTATAGAGCTGTTAAAAAGTATTGCAAGAGATGCGTTATTGAACATACGAATCCTGGATTCTTTTAAAGTTTGTTGCTTTATTTATAATTTAATGAAATTTGTTATATTTATTTTGTAAATTTGTATATCAATTTACTTTTTAAGAAATATAATTTTTATATATACCTTTATCTACCTATTTATATTTTTTCATTCATTTTACAGGATCTAACATACCTATTTATTTTCGTTTTAATTTATTTGTCTGTCAAATTGCTAAAACTACTTTCCCCAAACATATTTTTTTAAATAAATCTAACTCTTTTTACTCGTTGATCAATGTATGTCACTTTGACATTTGGAGGTCAGAAATTGACTAGACTATTAAAAGTCTTGGAGTAATTTTGCCTAAAGTTCCCTGAAGTCATCATTCCTCATCAAGCAGGCTTTAAACAATAGCGTTTTCTTAAATATATTTTTTTAGATGCTGGTTTAAAATATGTGCCAAGTTTTTGTTCTGGACTCCGAGAACTTAGCGTAAGCGACTGTCCCAACGTGACGGACTTCGGATTATACGAACTAGCTAAATTAGGACCAACCTTACGATACTTGTCTGTAGCGAAATGTGATCAAGTGAGTGATGCCGGTTTAAAAGTGATAGCGAGAAAATGTTACAAATTAAGATATTTGAATGCCAGAGGTTGCGAGGCAGTATCGGATGACGCCATAACTCTATTAGCTAGATCTTGTACTAGACTTAGGGCCTTAAATATAGGAAAATGTGATGTGAGCGACGCTGGACTACGAGCTCTGGCCGAATGCTGTCCTAACTTGAAGAAATTGAGCCTAAGAAATTGTGAGCTTGTTACAGATCGAGGGGTGCAATGTGTGGCTTATTATTGTAGAGGACTCCAACAACTCAACATACAAGATTGTCAAATATCCCTAGAAGGGTATAGAGCTGTTAAAAAGTATTGCAAGAGATGCGTTATTGAACATACGAATCCTGGATTCTTTTAAAGTTTGTTGCTTTATTTATAATTTAATGAAATTTGTTATATTTATTTTGTAAATTTGTATATCAATTTACTTTTTAAGAAATATAATTTTTATATATACCTTTATCTACCTATTTATATTTTTTCATTCATTTTACAGGATTTTACATACCTATTTATTTTCGTTTTAATTTATTTATCTGTCAAATTGCTAAAACTACTTTCCCCAAACATATTTTTTTTTATAAATCTAACTCTTTTTACTCGTTGATCAATGTATGTCACTTTGACATTTGGAGGTCAGAAATTGACTAGACTATTAAAAGTCTTGGAGTAATTTTGCCTAAAGTTCCCTGAAGCCATCATTCCTCATCAAGCAGGCTTTAAACAATAGCGTTTTCTTAAATATATTTTTTTAGATGCTGGTTTAAAATATGTGCCAAGTTTTTGTTCTGGACTCCGAGAACTTAGCGTGAGCGACTGTTCCAACGTGACGGACTTCGGATTATACGAACTAGCTAAATTAGGACCAACCTTACGATACTTGTCTGTAGCGAAATGTGATCAAGTGAGTGATGCCGGTTTAAAAGTGATAGCGAGAAAATGTTACAAATTAAGATATTTGAATGCCAGAGGATGCGAGGCAGTATCGGATGACGCCATAACTCTATTAGCTAGATCTTGTACTAGACTTAGGGCCTTAAATATAGGAAAATGTGATGTGAGCGACGCTGGACTACGAGCTCTGGCCGAATGCTGTCCTAACTTGAAGAAATTGAGCCTAAGAAATTGTGAGCTTGTTACAGATCGAGGGATGCAATGTGTGGCTTATTATTGTAGAGGACTCCAACAACTCAACATACAAGATTGTCAAATATCCCTAGAAGGGTATAGGGCTGTTAAAAAGTATTGCAAGAGATGCGTTATTGAACATACGAATCCTGGATTCTTTTAAAGTTTGTTGCTTTATTTATAATTTAATGAAATTTGTTATATTTATTTTGTAAATTTGTATATCAATTTACTTTTTAAGAAATATAATTTTTATATATACCTTTATCTACCTATTTATATTTTTTCATTCATTTTACAGGATTTTACATACCTATTTATTTTCGTTTTAATTTATTTATCTGTCAAATTGCTAAAACTACTTTCCCCAAACATATTTTTTTAAATAAATCTAACTCTTTTTACTCGTTGATCAATGTATATGTCACTTTGACATTTGGAGGTCAGAAATTGACTAGACTATTAAAAGTCTTGGAGTAATTTTGCCTAAAGTTCCCTGAAGTCATCATTCCTCATCAAGCAGGCTTTAAACAATAGCGTTTTTTTAAGGTAAGTCTGGCAAAATACTTTGATATTAAATAATTATTTATGTTTATATTAAATAAGATGCGGTAATATCCTAAAAAATAAAACAAGCAAATCATTTTACAATAACTGACATTTATATTTTATAAAATGCAAAACACATTATGTACAAATATTACAGTAATCAGTCTAATATAACATACGTGCTGGCCGGAATGTTAATCATATAAAATTTTGAATTAAATTTCAATCTGTTTATATCTGTACACTTACAATTCTTAATAAAGCTTCATCGATTTTACCAGAATTGCACGCTAAGTGTACATTAACAAAAAAGAAATACATGAATAACAAGATAAGACATTATTATATTAACACCTCGGGTATATATTCTTGTAAAATATATAACATTTCTAAATTACTAATAAAATAATATACCATATAATACAGTTATAAGGCAAGTATGAGAGAGAGAAAAAAAAGTTTTAACATAAGATTATGTTGATAAAAGTTCCTAACTAAAAAAGCGCTCTATATGACCCTATTGTATATTGCAAAATGAAGAATATAAAGATAACGAAACTTAGAAAAAGTAAAATACAAAAATAAATAGCTATTAAGCTTTTATATAAATAAATTATGAAATGTATGTATAAACTAGGTAACGTAAACATCTAAAACGCTCTTTAATATATGTTGTTCAGTCATAAAAAAAATTAAATAAATACTTATAAGTACAAAGTGGTATTTCAGTCAACATAAACCACATAAATCTGCTTAGTTTCGTATGTTCCTTCTACTTAGTTAAACTATAGATTTTATAAATATTATTTTTGGAGTAATATAAGGAGAAAACTTTATAGAATAAGTCGATATATATAACACCTATTTTACTACATAAAGACAATATTAATATTTAATATTTAAAGGTAATATCCATTTTTAACTGCACCAGTTAATGACACATTTAATTAATTTCCTCATGCTGAGCTAAAATGGATACCAACTTCTTAATATGCTCCAGAGTAAATTTAAATTCGTCAGTTCTTTACATGTACATTCGTAATTATAGGCAGTGATATTAAGATCTATCACATAGAGATGCATCTAACTTTAAAAACTATTTGGAAATATCCTTTATAACAATTAAAATTTGAACCAGTCAAATATTTCGAGTAAATAAAGAATTATTGATATAACACTAATGTTTTTATAGCTAAATTCCATGTGAAATAATTTTTTGTTTGTGAGAAATAAGCATACATTATTTACTTTTTTTTTCATCAATTTTAAATAAGAAAATACATGGAATTTAGCCTTTTTAAAAAGAGAATTGTGGAAAAAATCCATTTTCGCCACTGAATTTTTGCTCACCGGTATATAGAGAGTGTCTCAGAAATTTTTTTGAGTGCCTGTTCATTCTGCGGAATTTTGTTTACGGTAAATGCAGAAAATTCAATGTTGCCACCTCCTACGTTACTCATGTTCTGCATATTTATAAGTTCACAGTAATCTGAATGTACACAAAAAAAAACATGGAAAATAACTTTATTTATATCAGTTTAGATTACTACTAATTCTAGGTGGAATGAAGAACGTTTTTAGTCATATGACAACACAGGGTGTCCAACAAGCAGATATTGTAGCCAGAGGTTGTCAAAACGTCAGCGTTATTTTTAAAATTTTCAAAGTCTAATATCGCGCCTATTTTTAATTTATTTTAAAAATGACAGAGACAATTGCTTAGTAATTGTCTCTAAAAGTGGTAAATAAAATAAAAAAGATGTTTCTTTTAACTAGATCTACCACCCCTTAAAATACTTGCACTTATTTCTGAGACAACCTGTATAACAGCCAAAAATTATTACTAGATCATCTACATATTCTAAATTATTGTCACATCAATTTAAACATATTATAAGGCCTTTTTCATTACTAAACTTCACATATTTTTGTATATTAAAATCAAATGGCGAGCAAAAATACAGAGTGTCCTACCTACATATTCTCCTGTGTTTTTTATACATCTCTAGTATCACAAATAATTTTCAACTAATAATTTGGCTTAGAATTACTTGGAATAACATCATAACTTCGATAAAATTTATATTTATTTTTTGGTAATTAATGAGTCTGGATATCTATACATTAGAATGTAGTATAACAAAAATATTTATTTAAGATCAATAAAATTTAAAAATTCGAACTTAGGCCAAATTAATTTATATTTATGATATTTTAATAAGCAACAGTTTTTAGATTTAAAAATACATGATATAAAACTTGCGGTTCAACATTTCAAACAAATAACCAGACTGGGGGATCATAACAATTTCTGATCGCAAAAATCACAAGTCGGGATTAGGAGCAATAGTTAATGTTACAGATAGACCTGATTCTTTAATGAGATTAACAATGTCGCCGTGACTCAAGTTCATAATGTCTATGTGATTGACTGCTATTATATAATCACCTACCCTAAGACGGCCGCATCTTTCTGCAGGGCTGTCCTCAATCAAACGTCCTATAATATAGTATATTAGTTAATTATAATGTAACGAGTACCAAGTATAAAAAATTAAACTTACCAATACTAGAGCCGATTTTATTCAGAGAAGAAATAATAACAAATCCAAATCCCTCGTTTTCTGACCTCTGAACAGTGACGTCGTAGGTGGAATTTGCGTGTGGACTTGCCACTACCAAAGGAGCTGCATGATTGGATGGGAGTGGAGCAGTATTGTTTTCTATTGGCCAAGGCACTGGTCCATAGCTTATAGATGCTTGATGTCCTGGTGGAAACACCCTTCTCAAAATCAAGCTGACTTGACCTCTTGCAGCTGCTGCATTTATTAGCTGAACAACTTGTCTATGGGATGCCTTCAACACCGAAAAACCTTCAACGCTAACTATTTCATCACCTGACTGCATTCTACCATCTAAGTCTGCGGCCCCACCTGGTACAATATGACCTACAGCTACCTATTAATAAAAAAAAATATTGGTATCTAAATAAAATAAAATTCTTTTGAATATATGTTTATACCTGAGATTTATCTTCAATACCACCAACAATCCTGAATCCAAAACCAGTCTCCTGCCTATTTAAGATAACATGTGTAGTAATATAATCATTTCTGCTGCTCTGTTGATACCACCAGTCATTATTGAATTTTTTCATATTGTTGGGATTATCGTAATTGCTAGAGTCTAAAGTGTTAGGCCTTGGGCTGGCACAAAAAGCACAGGCACAGTCGTACCTGTGCTGTGGAACATACAAACTAAACTTTGGATCAACAGGAGGGGGGTATTCATATGACTGCTTAGTCTGGTTATTCTCTGAAATATCTATGTCTAAATCATCGTCCTCTTGATTATCTATGAGAGATAGTCGTAAACGCGATCTGTCTGCTGTGAAAATGTCGTTTTGAAAATCTGTTGTTCTTAGGATTTCACTGGAATTGGAATTGACATCTTTAACAGGAGTTTTGCTCAGGCTTCTGGTATCTACTAATGGAGTTTTTGGTCTACTTGGAAGCACTTCTCTAGGTTGAGTACTGTAAATGTCAGCTGTTGGTGTCTTGCTTCTATAGGCATTTCCAATGTCTTTAGCTGTATATCTATTATCTAATTTTCTAGACTTATTTCTTAGATTGGGAGTTTTATTTGAACAACCTCTTTGCACACAAATTGTGGCTTCACGATTATATGGACAGTTCTTTAACACTTGCACTACATCATCATGTGACATACTTTGTAAGGAAATATCGTTAATCTCTAAAAGAATGTCGCCCTCCATCAGATTTTTACACCTCTGACGGTCTAATATTTTCTTTACTCTTTGTCCACAGGCACTATCTGCAATTGTGAAACCAAAACCTAGATTTCCTTTCACTATGCTCACTCTCACTTCCACTTTTCCTAATGTTAAACTGTTTATGCCTTTTAATAAGTCATCAATATCATCTGGTGAGTCAATGTTATCTTCACCCCTAGAAACACTGTCATCACCATCTAGAAAATTATAATTAGTATCTAATAACCTTTTGTCATTAGAAATAGGTTGCAGGTGGGCATCCACTGCTATCGTCGTAACAACTTCAGTGTTGGGATCGTTTGGATCAAATGGCAAGGGATATCCTCTGCACACCTCAAGTTGCACTGTCGAACCTACACTAATAGACTGAAACAATCGTACTATTTGATTATGAGTATACCCCAGAACACAAGTATCATTAACATATACTATAACATCGCCTGTTTGAAGTTGTCCATCCAGCCATGCAGGACCTTTGGGAACCACAGACTTAATTTGTAAGAACTCATCTATTCCATCATCTCCTCCAACAATTGTAAATCCTAAACCTCTTGATGACTTTACTAGAGAAGTTCTAAATCTTTGTCCACATAATTCAGAAGGGTCCTTAGTAAATGATGTTCTGCTAACTCTAGCTGATGCTTGGGAAGCGGCTCGCTTTGCTTGAATAACAGGATTTTCATATTGGGTTCTTCTATTAACATGATCAATAAAATAAGTACCATAATGGGGATCACTAATTTTTTCCCATCCATAAGGAAGCTCATCATCCATGCAATCTTCTAATGTCTTTTTTTGAAATTTTGAAAGTCTCGGATCTAGCCAATGTGATGTCCCAGTTGTATGACTAAAATAATATATTATTTCAATTAAAATTTACAAGAAAATCATCTAGTCGAATCTCATAAACAGTTTAAATTTAGAATGTTTATTGTAAGTCTATTAACTTCTAAACAATAGCAGCTGAGTCCACTAAAGAAATAAACAGAACATGCCTAAAGAATACATGCCAGTTAAAATAGATAATGGGTAAATTAAATATAAAAAGAATCTTGTGTAATTTATATAAATATTTCTTACTTACTCTATAAAATACACTTCTCCGCTGTCAGTAAAGGCTTTTTCCCACTTGGGAGGCAAGGGTCCTAATGAATCATTATCATTGCTTTCATTAGCTTGATTGAAACTATTTTTCTCTTCCTCATAATAATTAGTATTGTCAGGGTGGTCTTCAGTTTCTACCCTTAACGGTAAAGATAAAGGATTTGAATGATTTGATTCACTTGTATGACTCATATTGAATAAATTTCATTCTTCAGACAAACTCTAGCAGCCAACTCTTCTTTTGATATAATAAAACACTTCTAAATTTCTTAAATCCGATTATTAGCAAGATTAGTGGCATTAATCTCATAAATATCGGAATTTCTTCATCACTTTGTGTCCTCCTAAAGTCTTTTGATCACCAAAACAAATATCTTCTCACTGAACTGCAGGCTTCAGTTAAATGGTACTATTATTTGTATTTTTTCAGTAAAACTGTAAATATTTATGGACAAGAAGAAAATTTCTATAAGTGAATGCTCTCTTAATTCAGGAATTTCCTGTGCTCCTGATCCTGAATATGTTCATACTTTTGCACAGATTATTACTTTTGTGAAATGTATCGAAACTGTCAATTTCCGGAACTTAAAATATTTACCTATGGTATTTAAAATATTCTGCAGGAGAAAGACAAAGTTTATTGTTATCGAAACTAGAAAATTTCTTTCTTTCAAAATTTACAAAAAGTTACCATAAAAACAATAATTCTCTTTAATTTGATATTTATTTATGATCATAATTCATGTTACAGTGTTCTGTAATAATTTTATGCGCCAATATAATTTGACAAGGCAAGAGAGTATTTTTCTTCCTTGTCTAGAATTGTCAAATTTGATTTGTAAACATATAAATGATATAAATGTCAGAATTTTGACAGTAAAATGAATAACTTTTTAGGATAGCACACTTAAATTTTGATTTTCTTCGAAAGTTTGGCTTAAATTTACAGGAACAATATATGGTAATATAGATGAAACATATAGAAATAAAAGTGCAGCTTTTGAAGTTCTTAGAAGCAACCATTGGTATGTATAAACCACTTCAATCTTTTTGGCATCAATCTGTTATTTTTAATTATTAATTAAAAGCTAGTTATTTCTTCTCACTTAATATCTAGGAGGTTGTATGAATGCTGGATAAAGGAAATAAAGGACACATTTGAGTAAAATTCGTACAAATTTATTATTTAATTTTTAGGTGCTAGAAATTGTACCATAGTAACGAGCTAGTTTCTTTTTTAACCGCTTGGAAATATGCCATCCATCCAGTACCTCCATTATTTACAGATGAATAATACGTTACATTGATGGTATGATCAGAAAATAGTACTGCTGGCGTATCCTGTAAATTAAAACAAATATGTCAAAATGTTCAGTTATAATATACTTCCTTCACTGTTTGATATATTATATATAATAAGATACTTACATTTTGGCAGAAAGTATGTTCTGTTACTTGGTTGTTTTTATAAGTTGCTACTACTACCTTGCTTTTAGCACACGTATCAGTAATATCAAATACTACAATTAAAAAAGCATATTCTTTTAAGTTCTTTTAAATGTTTTAAATCTTTTTACCTGAAAATTTCAGAGCTACTTTATGTCCAATTGGAACTTTTACATTCCAGGTGCATAGAGATTCTTTCCTATATAAATTTGGGTACATAGGGCTTGAAAATTTACCCATATAGTTATACATTTTTCCTCCACAGCCTATACCATCCTGTGATGCTAGATAAATGAAGTCATAGTTATAGAGCAGAGGTCTTGCCAGTCTTTGATTTAATTGTTTGTGTGCACCTTTAACAGCAATATAAAGCTTATTAGAGTTTGAAAAGACAGGATTAGGTAAGCTAAAGCCACAGTGCCTTAACAGTAGAGAACCTCTTTCATTATTTTCTCTAACCTAAAGAATGTGGACACATTTTTATTAGTAAACATTATTTCTCTATGCACTATTAACAAACCTCAATATTTGATTGGCTACAGTTTGCACTAGGGCTTATGTATATTACCATGAAATATAATGATAAGGTTGTATTTGCATCTGAAGTTATAGTAATATAACAGTTTTCATATACATATTGATTTTTAATTCTTCCTTCATTTGCTTCAATGGTCCTATTACAACCTAGGAGAAGCTTATAATTTTACTTCAGTTATTATTATATTTTTTTTATGTTTCTTACCCTCATTACTGTATGTTAATTTAAAACCTTTCCCCTTTTTGCTAATTTCATCACTTCTAAATGAGAGAGTAAGATTATTGCCAGCTGAGTAATAATCAAATGGTTTTTCATTTTTGCCACAAAAAACGTGTGTATTATATAGTTTCCTATATATCTAAAATAAATAGTTAGGGAAACTTAATCATTTTATATACTATACTCTACAGATACCCTGTAGAAATCCGAATTTGTGTTTGTTTGGCTACAAATTCGGTTCTAGAGAGGTTTATGTTGAGTATAACAAGCACCAGAATATATTAGAATTGAATTAAAATGCTTTCTTGAACTTCTTGTTAGTTATAAAGTATTAACCACTTAAAAAAATCTTACACTTGTAACTCTAGATTGGGGAATCCTAGAATTAAGGCCATATCCTTCCATAATGATGCTTTTATTAGGATCGTCTGAAATCTCGAATCTATCCCCATAACAGTTTGAATCTTGGCCGTCTCCTTCAGCTAAATCAAACTCTTCAAAGTGCAACAGTATTTTTCCCATAAGAGTGTTTTTAATTATCCATATACAGGCTATATTGCCAGGATAAGAGACGGGATAACCTGGAGATGTTAAAACTTGAGGTGTAGATTTAGGTACCAGAATCGAAGGTCCGCATTGTGCTGAAATAATTATAAATATATCAAAGGGTTGGTTTACTAAAACTCTATTATATATACTTACAAACAAAGCTGGTTACAGTCAGTGAGAAGGCATTTTTTTGAGGACTAGCAGAGAATAGTCTTACATATCCGGTATTCCAAGATGTTGTGAATGTCCTTGTACCACCATTGTCACTCGAACACAACTTTGAGAGTAGATCAGCTTGTGGTCCACCTCCATCCTTCACCTGAAGTAAATTTATTAATTTATGTATTTTTTATAACAATGAATCATTAGAAAAAAATACCTCTATAAAAGAGCACGTACAAAAGTAGGTGTAATTTCTTCTTGTAGAATTACAGTACGAGTTAATGTTTATATTTGAGAATTCGATTTTAATCTTGTAGTCTATTGGAGCGATAATTTTCCAGTGACAATCAAGATCTGGCAAATTGTTGGGAGGCGTTATAGTGGATGATGTTTGAGTATCATTTAGGTATACCACACCACCACATCCTACTGATGGACCTATAATAAATAAAAAAATCTACAAATTGTAATATAAAAATTATGAATATATATTGCCATAAATAAAGTAAATTTCTGCTTTTAATCCTTTAAAGATCTCAGCGGAGACGTCTAAATTGACCAGCATAGTTTTGGACATGCCGAGAGTGATAGATTCTTCAGCTGACTGGCATAATTGTCGAAGACGTTTTGATGGTACTTTCTGGAGCCCATCGTATATGATCAGATAATACATATAACAATAAGCTCCTTGAAGTGTTAACTCGTGTATCCTGTAATAAAGTGATGTTAATACTATTTTTTTTAAATATATCACAATATTTTCTACTCAAAAACTGGAAGTTGATCTGGCGGGGCAGTAATATACCAAGAACATATTTGTCTGGGTTGGTAGGAAAGAAAATAATTTGATTCCTCTGTGTTTTGAGTAGGTAGTTTTATAGCTATCGGCTCTGTTATATTTCCTCCGCAACCTGTTAATATAAATAGTTTAGCATGTTCTCTGGATAATTTTTTTGTATATATCCTTACTTTCCAATACGTAAGATAATTTAAAACCTTTTCCGTTGTTCCAGGCATAATGTTCTGTTTTAAAAGTGATCACAGCATCTCTGTCCAGTCGTTGACTCTTAGGAAGCGTTTTTCCACAAAGAGTTTGACGAATATTCGGCTTTTTTACAGTATATATAGTTAAATTGTCATAGCTGCATATAGGAGTCCCTAAAATTCAATATAAACGCAGGTATTTCGCTTAAAAAATTCATCAGACCTTCATACCTTCTCGAAGATCGAAATCTAAGAACTGGATATTGATTACTTTGTTCTTGACTTTGGGTTTGATCGTATAAATGCAAGTGAGGTTTCTTTCATATAGATTTGGATAATCTGGACTTGTAAGATACTTTTTCGTTTCAGTGGCTATCAGATCTCCTCCACAATGCCACTTTATCATTGCCTAAATATTGCTTGTTAAAATAAACGAACTTGTTTCTATGTTTTTGTATTACCTCAAATCCAATTGCAGTAACATTTGCATCGCTTCTAAAAATAACTTGCATTCGATTACCTGAGGCCTTGATTTCTTCTGGTATTTTCCTACCACATAACTTCTGTTTAGATACCCAGTTTTCACCGTCCCAATCGAAAACCTAATAATTCACAAGATAAAAATAAATAAAGTAATTTTTTTTTTTTTCGTATATTACTTCAACGTAATCTTTGGTACAATTCTTGCTTTCCTCTACGTAGAATCTAGAAATAAATTCTAGCGCTATGATGTTACCATCTGGTGCATTAATTTCCCATATACATTCCATATTGTTGGGATAATCATCTTTGTAGTTTGGTGTCCGAATAATAGTATCCCGTTTATGAAATATACCTCCACAAGCTACGGAATAAATAGTTTAATTTTGAAGAAGCCTGGATAATTTTTTTTTATACTAACACGTAATATAGGGCTCGTAAAACAAACTGAATCCCTTTGAATTGCTAGCTTGCCCTTGGGTGTACCTGTATTCAATAAATACCTCGTTTGTTTCGGTAATCAGCACCGATGGTTTGTTATTTCTGCAAAACTTGCCGATTCTTGGACTCTCCAACCGATTACCATTGTAGATAGTAAGAAAACTACTGTCACAATCATCGCCTAGATCTAGAGAGTTCACAGTTATTTTCACTCTGTAGTCATAATTGATTTCTAAATTCCAAGCACATTCCAAACTTGTGTTTGGACTGTTCGGGAAGTTAGGACTAGAAATTGTCCCTTCGTCTTCACTGATCAAACCTCCACAAGGGTAAGTCTTGTATTTAATAATAAACTTGTTGAAGGTATTTAGGTATCTACGAGCCTAGAAATATCCTAATAAATTATTCACGAAATATCAATGTAAAAAACTCTACCTCTATACTTGAATCGCTTGATGGAAACCTGATCACGTATGCAACAGTATCTCGGTCAAGATGTACAGTACGTCTGTTAATATAAACTATTACTCCTCCCTGATTAATGTTTTCACTGTGCTTGGTCTGATTTGTTTCTAAATGAACTTGTACAGCCACAGTCGTGTTGGGTTCTTTAATATCTCTAGACCACTCGCATAAGAAACTTGATGCGTTGGGAGATATTATTGTACCTTCTGTTTGGTTGTAACTACCTTGGCATACTGCAAAATCAACGTTAATAAATGAAGAACATTTTTAATTGGTTTAGGTTCCTTCAGCGGCCCATACATTATCAAACAAATTGCGCAACGAAGCGATGCGCAACGTTGCGTTGCACAACTGATTCAGCGGTCCATACACTATCAAACAAGTTGCGCAACAAAGCGATGCGCAACGTTCCGTTGCACAACTGCCTCACCCATGTACAGCTGGTTCCAATAAAATTGAATACGATTTAAAACATATTTTTATTATTTCGGGCAGTATATTCTATGATACCAGTCCTCCATTCCTCTACTCATGTCATGCTGACATTCTGAAAAGTTTATTTGCCACTTTGTCAAAAGCAAATTTGTTTTATTCAATGTCACAATAACCTTAACATGCCAAAATACTTGACACATAAATATACACTGCTCAAATATTCGAAAAAAATGTGTAAAGAGTCGTATTCATTTTTTTTGGAACCAGCTGTACTTAGTAAAATTTTAATCAAACTTTTTATTAAAAGTTGTGCATTGTTTGAGAAACAATCATGTCCTCAATTGCCATTGCGTCAATTATTATCGTATATACCCTAGATGATGTCGATGATACCAGAAAACGAAAAAGAAAAGAGTGAATTTGGATGAAAGAACTAAAATATTGCACAACGAAGCGCAACACACACATACACTACACAACGCGTTGCGCAAACAGTCCTGTTGCACAAAAGAATTCAAATATTCTTGAAACTCATCAAACAATTGCGCAACGCATCAAACACTATCATACATTAGCAACTCGTTGCGCAACAGCTTGCGTTGCGCAATTTGTTTGATAATGTATGGGCCGCTTTACTTGTTGGTTTGTCGGAAGTATAAGTTAACTTTATCCCTCTCTGAGGGGTGAGAACTTTTTTCCAGTAAAGAACCGAAGCTGTATTATCACTGCTTTCGTATGTAGCGTCCGGTTGAATGTTTTCTGTAATGGGCATACTACTTGCCCAGCCGTTTGAAAGTATGACCATTGAACGATCGATGTCTACATCCTTTACATTGAAGGTGATTCTCCTCCCTTGAGGTACTTTAATTCTCCAAATGCAGAGGAAAGTTGCTGGTTTCGAAGAAGGGTATTCTGGAGATATTATTGTTCCGGATTCGTCGTTCAAACGTTTAAAACATCCTGTAACACAAAAAAATCATGGCAAAAGATGTTTTTTGCTTAATTTATTTGACTTACTGTCTCTCCTAACGAAAAAAGAAATGTAAAATTCATCGTCGCTGTGTCTGGGGGTGTAATCAAGTATAATCTCGTTCGTAGTTGATTTAATTGAATCATTTGGTGTTTTATATCCACTGAACGTTCCTAAATCTGAAACTAGAAGAAAAAAAAAACAAATTTAGTTGCTCCAATATGAAAAAAGCTTAAAACTTCTTCAAGCTTACTTTGTGATCCAATGGTTTTCTCATAAAACCGCAAAGTTCCGTTTAAATGCATGTTTCTGAACCTGACTTCGAAATAAGAATCTCCATAGCTCCGTACGTGCCAAGTGCAGTTTTTGTTCAGTTCCACTGTACCGGGTATTGTCTTGGAGTCTAAAGTTGAATATCCTTCAAGAATTCCTCCGCAGCGGCCTAAAGAGACTTTTAATTTGAAGCCATTCCTTGGTTCGTCAGTATCAGTGAAAAATTTAATGTATAATACGTTTCCAGTGGTGAAAATTGTGTCAGGGGTAGTGATACAGTATCTGTTAAGCAATTTTGACCATTCTGTTCCACCGTCTCTTAGTTCAACGTATTCAGTATTACATCTGAAAGGAAAAAACATTTGAGAAATGTTGAATTTGAAAGTCTATACAGGGTTGTTCACCACATACGACACGGAGTATTGTAGCTAAACGATGAGATTTTTTACAAATTGTAAGTATTGGGTTCGATGAAGGTACAATTTAAAAATAAATAGAGGTACAATTAAAAAATTGGAGGTACAATTTAAAAATAATTTTACAAGATACAGAGTGTCCCAAATAAGTAAAAAATATCAAAGTTGTATTTTTTTAAATGGAACACCCTGTATATTATTACATTTTTAGTTTCTACGATTAAAATAAAGGTAAATTTGATTAAGATTTATTATACTTAAACCTTACCGTTTTTGAAATATTTTCAATTTTGTGAAATTGCAGTAAAAATTTTAAGGCTTCATTTCTCCAAGGGTATCAAAGTTTTTAATACTAAATATTTACTGAAGTTTATTTACTGATCAGTTATTGTGTTGCAATAATAAAAATAATACTATCTTATACAGAGTGTCTAAAAATTTATTTTAAATAATTATTAGCTTCAAACGGCAATAACTTGTTTAATTTAAATGGAACACCCTGTATATTTTACGAGAATCAGATGCACAATTTAATTGTCTATCAAATTATATTATACCATTTTTTACCTATCTCTTTAAGTTTCCGTAGAAAATGCATTTTCTTGTAATTTAGAACTTATTTATCAATATACCCATGGACTATTGACATTTCAGATTATTTTTAAAGATGTACCAAATTTTTAAAGAGTACAGATACTAATATTGTCGATATAATTCGTTTATTTCATTAAAAAATAAAAAAAACTGTTTAAATATTTGTTAAAGAGGATCAATTAATATGATTCCAGCTGTGATTCCAGTATTCAAACTACATTAACTGACTGTTTGCGTTGATTAATAATAATTGCTCCAAATACTAAAAAACTGGATTTTGTATGGGCATTAGACAGTGTGATAAAAAGTAACACCTTAAAAATGATATTTCATTTTTTAATAAATGCTTATTTATAACAACAGAGACTTTAATTTGATAACTTATTATTATATTGATTTCTGACTCAAATCCACATTTATTTATAATAATTTATTAACGAACACAATTAAGTATGTAATTAATTAGTATATGGGCGCAAATAATGGTGTTATATTTAATTAATGGTATACTCTTTTATAAAGATTTAAATAGTTTTCTTTTTGCATACAAATGGGCTAGTAATATTATCGTTTTGCTAAAAACGATAATATTACTAGTCTGTACATTTTGTACATTTGTTGCTTTAAAAACAATCTAAAATGTCAATATTCCATTGATATATTGATAAATGAGGTCTAAATTATAAGAAAATGCATTTTATACGAAAACTTGAAGGGATAGGTAAAAAATGGTATAATACAATTTGATAGACAATTTAATTGTGCATCCGATTCTCCTAAAATATACAGGGCATTCCATTTAAATTAAAGAAGTTATTGCCGTTTGAAGCTAATAATTATTTAAAATAAATTTTTAGACACTCTGTATAAGGTAGTATTATTTTTATTATTGCAACACAATAACTGATCAATAAATAAACTTCATTAAATATTATAAGTATTAAAAATATTGATACCCTTGGAGAAATGAAGCTTTAAAATTTTTATTGCAATTTCACAAAATTGAAAATATTTCAAAAACGGTAAGGTTTAAGTATAATAAACCTTAATCAAATTTACCTTTATTTTAATCGTAGAAACTAAAAATGTAATAATATACAGGGTGTTCCATTTAAGAAAATACAACTTTGATATTTTTTATTTATTTGGGACACTCTGTATCTTGTAAAAATATTTTTAAATTGTAGCTCTAAGAGTCCTTCAACGAACCCCAAACTTACAATTTGTAAAAATCTCATCGTTTAGCTACAATACTCCGTGTCGTATGTGGTGAACAACCCTATATATAAAGCTTTTTATACCCGTCTGATTGAGTTAAATCGAACCTATCCTCAAAATCTATCCTTAAAGTTTCACCAGGTACTCCAGTGATCACCCAGACGCATTCACTGTGAGGGTACGGAATATTCGGATATCTAGGAGATGTTATTTCTGTAAAGTTGTCCATGGAGGATAAACTTATTTCTCCACCACATTTGAACGATACTTCTTCATATTTTATTTTAAAACCCTAATATTTAAGTTACATTAACTCAAAATAAAATAGGTGAATTCAATAATATATACCTTAATATCCGGTGAACCCCAGTATTTAAGGTACAGGTGGTTACTGCTTGAATTCAACGTGTATGGTACAGTGGAGTTACAGAATTTTCCTTTGTCAAGAAAGGGACTATCAGCAAATTTGCCGTTCCGAATAATTAAGTTATTGATGCATTTGAAATCGATGTTATTTAAATCAAAACTTAAGAAGGTTAGCTTTATGGTGCGCCCAGATCGCACAGTTATGTTCCATTGGCACTAAAATAAATAATTTTAAATATATTATTAAATAAATGTCATAAAACAAATATACTTCGGTATCTTGAATATGATCTTTGTCGAAAATAATGTATCCTGATGGTTGGGTAATATATCCTCCACACACTAGAGAGAAATAATTAATAGAATTATACTTATTAATACGAAGAAGTATAAAAAATACCTTTAAATATTTGAGCCTGAAACCCTTTCCCTACAGTGTACGTAAGCGTTTTAAAAGTGATTTTCATAACACTCGTGGGGTAAAACGTGTGCTCTGTTTGGGTATTGTCACATATTTCTTTCAGTAATTCAAAATTCCCAGTTAGCGGAGATTTTTCAAGCAACTTTATCGTGCTGGAATACATGCAAGTCCTTCTAGTGAACGTGATCAGATTGATATCCAAAAACACCACTTTAAAGTGTGATGTTTGATCAGTTTCAAACACCCATTCGCAGTTTAGGTTTGTCGGAAGTTTGTTTGGATATCCCGGAGAAGAAATAGTTACATTAGTCTCATTCTCCATGCGATGAATATATTGACAATCTAGAATACGAAGAATCGAATTTTAAGGAAGCTTGATTTATTTCTTTATTCACCTGTAGCATTTAAAGTTTTCAGTTTTAAACTTGTAGGCAACTCCTTCCATCTGAGGAGGAATTTACTGGCTACACGAGAAGACAGATGGGATGCTACGACGAGAATAACATTTGAGGTGGACAACAAAGTTGGAGGCAAGTCGTAACCGCACAGATTTTTGATCAGAATCGCTTCTTCGTTGATGCCATCGTAAAACTGAAACCGTAACAAAATAAAAAAAAATTGGTAATAAAGATCCAATAAAGTCACCTTAAGCCCTCCTGAACACTGTTCGTCATAATCGAAGGAGAATTCCTCAAAATTTATTTCTATTCTGGTCGTTGGCTTCGTATTGATCAACCAAGTAAATTTCTCGTACGAGTTAAATGAAGATGGATACAGTGGATTACCTATTTTACCAGATGGTCCTGATAGTTCATTATTGTATGCTGGAATAAAATATTAGAATTATACTAGAAGAAATTGTTTTAAAACACTTACAGAACGAATATTCGAAATAGAACCCTTTTTTAATACTGGAGATACCATCTCCTAGTGTAGTAGATTTAAAAACGAGAGACATTGTTCCAGAAGTTGAGGTGATGTTGGCTGGAACAGTATTTCCACAATACACTCCAATTAACTTTCCAGTTTCACTTTCCTCTCTGATCTCCAAATAATCTGAGTTACAGTATTCACTCTCGGGTATATCGAAGTTTAAGAAATTTAGAGAAATTACGTTTCCTGAAACAAATTATCAATTTAAGTATATCTTCACTCAGTGGCGGATACAGAGGGGAGGCCCATGGGGCCCGGGCCCCCCCCTAAAATCTATGAATTGGGGTAATTATTCGGCTTTTGAGCTAAAAATTGCGACCTAAAAAGTATATTCTACATTATTTTTTGTTTGCCACGTGTGTTAAACGTCACTTCTGAAAGTAATCAACAGAATATTCAGAAACCAAACAGAAACAGACTATAGCTGCTTAATGCATGAAGTATGACTTTATTTATTTCTCTACCGGAAAAAAACAATATTTTATAAACATATAAAGTCGATTATCTTAAAGAAGTAGGAAATTGGACTTTATTCACTTTAATTCTGACCACTCCGTACATTTTTTTCTATTTTTATACATACCTGGGCCTATTGAGATAGTCCAGTCACAGGAAGCATTACTGGCGTAGTTGTTGGGCCAGCCAGGAGAAGCTACGAAGCCATTTAGGGCACTGATTTTTCCACCGCATTCTAAAATGAATGAAGATACTTTAATTGTCTAAATCTGGATTTACTTTTACTGTCTTTTACCGCTATCTATAATGCTATAAGTGGCGTAGATATCGACTTTTTGTTTGAAAACTATATGCAACGCTGATCCATCACTGACTATAGTTGGAGGGAGTTTGTCTATGCAGTATATCCCTTGTCTTGGAGAATCGCTGGACAGGCCATTATAAACAATAAACGCCCCTTCGTCCGGGTTGCACCAGTTAATACCTCCGGCATATGAAAGCCTGCTTATTGTCAGAGACACATGGCCTAAAAATATATTTTCAGAGACTTAGACTTTTTATATAAGTACCTTTATTACCACTTAGCACTGTAGACTGGATGGTAAACGAGCAAGCTAGATCCTCTTCTGGATTGGTATTGTGAAAATCATATTCTGAGACCAGGTCCAAAACACCACTGGAACTAGTTTTGATGGTGGCCCCACATGCCTAAAAATTCAAGGCTTAATAACGTAAAGTTTATCTAGAAATACATTTCAAGCTACTGTGTAATAATGTGCCTTGAAACCCTTGCTGGTAAGCTTGTTATTGTTGTGGAACTCCACAAACAACAGGTCGTACGTAGATGATATAATTTTTCCTGTAATGTTTGAGGAGCCACATATAGTTTCTAGTAATGGGTAAGCTTGATTGGGTCCATCGAAAACCTATGAAAAAAAACGAAAATTACTTTGTTTTTTGATTGGTTCTATCTATTTAAAAACCTTTATATATGTTTTATTGCAATCATCTGGCAAATCGAGGTCCTCAAAGGTAAGACCAAGTCGGTGGTGTTCATCTGCAGAGAGCAGCCACTCACAGGAATTCGATTCGTTATAATTGTTGGGGTAATTCGGTGAATAGATATAGCCAGAGGCCAGACGTAATGTTCCACCACATTCTAAAAAATAACGTAGTAAGTTGTTCCTGATATAGGACGATGGAATACGTTTATTGACAAAACATAATTTATAAATTAAGTAGCCTAAGATATTTTTCTACCAATTTCCGTTCATACCTGCTTGATTTGTGTGGTATGCAGCATATAACCCTTTCCCTTGATAATTATAATCTGCCACAAATGACACTAACATTTCGTTGCTGTTCCCGTCTACTCTTATAGTACTACTATCTTTAATACGACACAGCGTTGTTATAAGGTTGCCTGTTTCATCTCTACCATCGAATACCTAAAAGAAACGCTGTATTTAAGATATGAAAATGAAATACATAGAAAATACCAACCTTTAAATAATCGAATGAACAAGAATCATCTCTTTCTACGTCTAGAGTATAAATGGCTAGTGTAATACTATTTCCTGCTGGCACAGATATAATCCAGTTACAAGTAATGCTGGGAGGGTAAGGTTTAGGATAATTGGGAGTCTTTAAAACACCTCGATCTTCTGTCAAAATTCCTCCGCATCCTAAAATCAATAAAAATTATAAATTTGTTTATAACTTTAATGTTTAGATATTAACCATTTATCTGCCATTCCAGTCTGAATCCGTTGGATACCAACAGGTCGTCAGTGACGAAACGTATTTTGGCATGATCCGAATTTAGAGGAATCAGTCCAGGGTTCGCTCCCCCGCAATACTTTCCATAAGTCTGGAAAGTGTTGTCACCGCCATTGTACTCAGAAACTTTGTATTGTACCTAAAAAAATAGGGTTTTGAAACATCGAGGAAAAGAAAACAGGACACTGGTACCTCGACATAATCAAACTCGCAAGCAGTGCTGCGTTGTTCTACAGAAAAATGCGAAAACGTGATGTTAATTTTGTTATTCGACGGTACAATGATGTTCCATTCGCAATTCTGATTGGTCGGGTACTCGTTGGGGAAGTTAGGACTTTCTATAACTCCACTGAAACCTGTTACGGTGTTGGTGCAAACCGTGGAGTACTGAAGATGGAACCCTCTCCCTTCGTAGCTTATGTCAGATCGAAATTTTACAAGCATCCTGTTTCCAGATGATACAACAGGCTTAATTTGAGGCGTGCAAAACCGTCCCAAAGATTTCGAATTTATATCACCACCGTCAAGCAACTATAAAATTTAAAATCAATAACATTGATCTTGGCAAAATGATGGCCTTACTTCAACGTAATCTATCGAACATTTCGAGTGCTCCTCCAAATTGAAATCGGCGAAATATATTTGGATCTTTGATCCCAAACTGATGAGGATTTTCCAAAGGCATTCGGAATTTTTCGCGTACGGTTCTGGATAATGCGGCGATATTATCGATCCAGAGGGACCAGTCAGCATTCCTCCGCATCCTGAAAGTGAAAATGGCATAAGGGAAAAGAAAGGAACACTTAGGGCTCTATACCTGTCGCAGCGGAAGACCACCGGATTAAAAAGCCAGGCTCGGACTTACTCATGTCAGATTTAAATTTGAGGTAAAGCTTGTTGGTGTGGGAATAGATCACTTTTGGAATTTCTGTACCACAGTAGGTTCCTATAAGCGGCGAAGCGGAAGATCCTCCATTTCTGATCTCTAAATAATCGTATTTACATTTGGGATAAAACTCTAAGTGAAAACTAGAAACGTTCAGCATAATTTGACTTCCTGGAGGGGCGGTTATAGTCCAGACACACTCCTTATTTACAGGATATCCTTTAGGGTAACCAGGACTTCTAATATAACCAGAAGGAGTGTAATAATTACCTTCGCAAACTAAAAAAAATATATAATTCATTGATGGTTGAATGGTTATACAATTATTTACTATTGTCTTCCTTTAAGAATGCATAAGATAATAAAAATCCTTCAGCGTTGATGCTTGTATCAGCTACAAAATCGACTGTCATGATGTTGGAGGTGGATAGTAAAGTTGGTGGTAGTTTGGATCCGCAGTATTTTCCTATCAACCCCCCCATACCGTCGTCAGTGTTGTTGTCGAATATTTTCACGTAGTCGTACGTGCAATTGAAGCTTTGTTCCACACTAAATGTCAGCCAAGTTAGTTGAATTATTTTTCCTGGAGGTGCTACAATCACCCATCTACAGTTACTGTTGGCGAGATATTTCTCGGTATCTCTAGGAGGGTAGGAGATACTCTGTCTATCTTCTTTTAACAAACCACCACATCCTACAAGACGTGTAATTTTTAATAACTCTACATAGAATTGCAGAATGTTTAGGAGAACAGAATCTGCATCCGCCGTTGTTTCTCAGCTGCAATCTACTGAGGTGTCCATTGAGGAGACTGTCCTGTTAAAAACCCCGTGAGAATAATCATAAGAATAATCGTCGAATTGTCAATATCTAACAGGACACTGTCTCGCCTCAACGAATACCTCAGTAGATTAGCTGTGAAAATGGTGGGAAAAAGCTGTAGGAAAAATGGGGAAACACCAGAACACTTTATCAATGAATGCGCCGAGACGACAACCGTGTTCTGGCACTCCTCTTTTGGTTCAACCGTCTTTGTCAAAGCCCTGCAGAACTCTACGAAACAGTTTTTCAAAAAATACCTGTATTTATTGTGGTATAATTTGCAGAAAAATATGCGATCTTCGACTTGATTTTAATCCATAAATAATTCGTTGTAGATTCCAATTTAATCTTGCTTTCCTTGCAAAACCTTCCAAGAAGCGTTGAATTGCTATTATCCCCATCACGAACCTGTAGGCACAGCATACATTTGAATTCAAAATTCAAAAATTTTCTTATTTTATAGACTTACTTCTACATAGTTTGGAATGCAGGAATCTGGCAGCGAAATGAGACTCTTATACAATTCTAAATTTAATATAATGATGTTATTTTGTGGTTGTTCTATCACGTAGGTACACTCGTCCCAGCCAGTGTAATAATTGCTTGATTGAATATCTTTCTTGGGGTCTGTAAACTTTAACAAACATTCTGGAAGAAAAATAATTATGAAGTTATAGGAAGTTCATGATTAAAAATATGAATTTACCAGCTTTATATTTAAGCTTCCAATTGTGCTGAAATTTATTGACAGATTGTGAAACAATCAAAAGACTATTCCCTACGGATGTAATTGGACCAGGAAGTGTTGTACCGAAATATTTTCCTATGAGGAGATCTTCCTTAGATGTGCCTTGGTAAAACTACAATATATGTAAAGAGACTGGCATAGCAATAATCAAAGTTAAAAAGATATATACCGCAAGACTATTTCGACCTGTAGGAATTTTCTCAATGTTCATTTCCAGAATATCCACGGTTATCACAACATTCAGAGGAAATTTTATTTGATAGGTGCACGTCAGCACACTCGGCATTGAATCACTCATTTCTATGGATTTTATGTATCCATCTCTGCTTGTGTATACTCCACCACATCCAGGAATGCCTTAAATTTTGAGTTATTCTCAAAAAAGGACATCTAACTTAATGTAATTTTACCATCTACTAGGGAATATCCAATCTGAAAGCCAGAATGCTGGTTCTTTGCGTTAGATTTGAAAATAATATGCCCTGTTGCTGAAACTGAATGGAAAGGTTCGGGTATAGTTGAATTGCAAAGTTTTTTAAATGTGTTGTATCGCCTTCCAAGCACCGGGAACGATTGAAACTGTAAAATATATTTTTAAAATGTAAAAAGGCGGTTTTTTATTGTATTACTTCAAGATAATCTCCAGAACAATCACTGTCTGAGCCTATATCTAAAGAATACACGTGGAAAAGTAATCTTTTGTCAACGGGGATAGAAAAAGACCATACGCATAATCTGGAAAAAAATAATGTATTTTTTTTTATTTTAAAATGATTAAAAGATACCGATTATTGGGATAAGGTGCTGGATATCCAGGCGATGTAATCATTCCACTTCCCACAGTAATCATATCTACACAGACTGAAAAATAAAAAAATAGGATCATTCAACACAAACTATAAAATATGAAATATATCCAAAGCACCTGGTAACAAAGAGTTCCATGTTAATTCAAACTGTGGAGTGTTGCCTTTGTTCGAAGATCTCAACCACATGTATACGGTATTTTGTGTTGTTGTTATAGTACCATTTAATGGCAGATTTTTTCCACAGAATCTACCGAAAGCTGGTGCCAGAGTATTCCTTCCATCGTGAATCTAATTTAAGGAATTTATTAATAAAACTCTCTTAATTTTTTGTATAATACATAGGGTCCGCCAAAAGTGCGTCGAGCATCCTCCTAGAAAAAAAAACCTTGGGAATTTTGTTAAATGCAGCCCTAGTATGTACTGGTATGACACTACAGGGTGACTCTTTTTTTTAAACGGAACACCCTGTATATTCTTACATTTTTGGCTTCCTTTCTTTAACTTTACATAGTCCGAATATATGAGTAAATATATTTGGATAGTTTCAGATAAATAAATAAAAAATATATGCTTTTCAGCCTTAAAAAAAATTAATACAAATACAAAACTTCCTTGAAATCAAAACTATATTAGGTATTTACTCTATATGGTCTATACTTACTTTGTTATAAATTGAACACGCTGTATATTATTTTTTTATTAGACGGAGGACGGAGAATTAATAAATGAACACTTTTTGTATTTGAGTATTTCAAAATTTGTAACGGTTTCGCAGATATTCGCGATATTATTTCATATAGCTCTTTCAACGGCAAAATACAAGAGAAAAATCATTGGGTGGGTTTGATTAAAATTTACTGTCCAAAATGCCATATATAAAAAATAAAATATAAAATCGCGAATATCTGCGAAACCGTTAAAAATTTTGAAATACTGTAAATATATAAAATGTTCATTTTTTAAATCTCCATTTATTAAAAAAAAAATCATATACAGACTGTTCCGTTTAAATAAAAAACGAAGAAAAAGTTCGAAACACATTTACATATATTTTAGGAGTATGTAAAGTAATCTGAAAGGAATCCAACAGAAACCTGCAGAAGTTAAAATATTTTCCTGAAATACATCCTAATACATACTTCAGGTTTGCACTTATACAAGATTCCTACATTTGTTTATTATAGGATCTACAGATGCCCGACGTACTTTTGCCGCACCCTGTATATCTACCTGAACCCAGTCAACATCGCAGGAATCGTGTAGGTTAAACTTAACAAAATTGATCTTTAAAGTTAAAGTATCCAGTGTTCTGATTGTCCAAGCACAGCTTATCGCTCCTAAAGAAACGTAATTTTCGGGAGGAAACTTAATCGTACCGTTACGAGCATTGACATTTCCTCCACAGACTAAAAAAAATATTTTATATAAATTCACAGTAATAAGAAAGACAGCCCCGACTTTACCTGGTTGTTCTTTCTGGCACTGGTTTCCACTAAACCCGGCTATACATTTGCAAACATAACTACTGCCTTGATTCTGGCAAGAACCTCCATGCAGGCAAGGACTGGACGCACAAGGATTATCGTACTGATCACAGTAAGTCCCGAAATATTTATTTTCACAAACGCATTGAAATCCTATTGAGGAATTATTTGGTGCGCAGTTTCCATGAGCGCATGGATTTGGGGAGCAAGGATTTCCATTCTTGGTGCAACCTCGAACACCTATTCCGGAACCAAGGTATCCTGGAGGACAAAGGCACTGGACGGGGGTACCCATAGTTCCAGCGTTATCTATACACCGAGCTAGGACATGACAGCCTCCGTTATTTACATTACAGAGACCTTTGTAGGTACAAATTCTTCCATCACCTAAGTAACCAGGTGGGCATATGGAACATTTACTAGAACCCTAAGATGATGAGAAATTAATTTCGTCTGGTAAGTTTATGTTGAAGAACTTACAGGTGTATTTATACATTCTACGTAAGGAGATATGCTACACCCTCCATTTAATATCTCGCATTCATTGATATCTGCGCAATAATAACCATTTCCAGTATATCCTTCAAAAAAAAAATTAAGAATGTTTCTGAAATAAAATGTCCTTTAATAATATACCTGGTGGACAATGTTGGCACATAAAAGAACCAGGAACATTAGTGCAAAGAACCAACGGGTTTGTCGAACATGGAGGATGGTTACTTTTGCATTCATCTACGTCCATATTGCAAGCTTTATGAACCCCATCAGTTGTCCACCCCGCGTCACAAAGACATTTGTACCCTACGTCGTTATTTTGTGGTATACACGTACCATGACCACATATTTCACTACCTCCCGAATTACAATCTGTTGGTTTTCGGTTACAATGTATTCCTATCCATCCGTTTTGACACAAGCACCTAAATATCGAAAAAATTAACATAAAAACAAAATAACAAAGAAATATCTTTTTCTACCGATATGAACCAGGTAAATTTTCGCATGTTCCACCATTCTGGCAACCTAGATCAGTTCCAACAAATCTAAAACATTCGTTTGTGTCTTGTTCGCAAGTGGTACCCTAAAATCATCATTAAATCTGTCTAAGAATGCTTAGAAGTTAAGCTTTATGTGTACCTCCCATCCATCTGGACACTGACAAAAGAAATTTTTATACAAATCCAAACAGGTTCCTCCGTGCTTGCAAGGGTTACTAGAACATTCGTCTTTGTATAGGCTCGTTTGAAGATTGTTGAAGCTTCGCCTCAACGCTGTTAAAGCTCTTCGAATTCTCGTTATCTTTAGATCTAGAGATGCTAAATCCAGACTTTTTGAGCGGTTATTGATGCCTCCACTGGACCCACTCATTAAAAGACTTATTTTGCTATTTACATCGTCTAGTTGCGTTTGATATCCAGACACCAAGGATCCATACATATCGATAAATTTTGTGGCATTGTCCGCCTATAATTTTTAAAAACGGATAAAAACAAATAATATTTTGTTATTTTCTGACAAATTTACTTTTTGTATAATTGGCAGGACATCAATTTCATTTACTAGGAAGCTGGAAGATCCAAATTTTATATTCTTGCTTTCTGGCACGTCGATATGTAAATTTCCATTAATGGTGTATAGCCTGGGCCTAACAAACACGAATTTATATTTAAACAGGAAATAGTTCATATTATTCTAAAATATAAGTGTGTCACTCTATATATTGGTCGAAAGATAAACGATTTTAAGTAAATAAAGTGTTTCCCCAATATATTTGCCGATTTTAAAACATTCGTACAGTTGAAATGGAGATTGCATTGATAAGATTTGGATTTTTTTAAATTCGCATTCTAAAAATCATGTGTTTTAATTATGGAAAAAATAAGAAGAAAAATAGTGGTAGTGGGTGATGGTGGGTGCGGAAAAACCTCTTTATTATCAGTGTATTTAAACGGCGAATTCTCCAGTAAGCATATACCAACCATTTTCGATACCAGCTACAAAGAACTGGTGATCAACGACAAAGGAGTTGCCCTTTCTATCTATGATACAGCAGGGGAAGAGGACTATGACAACTTACGACCTTTATCGTATCCTGATACCAATGTAGTGTTAATATGCTATTCAATATACAGCCCTACATCTCTGGAAAACGTTCGATTAAAATGGTATCCAGAGGTCAAGCATTTTCTACCACAAGCCTATTATATTTTAGTAGGAACAAAATTGGACCTTAGAACGACAGATTCGAAGAGAAAAAAATCAGTTACACGTGCAGAAGGTCTTAGAATGGCTAGAAGAATTGGAGCAGATGACTATCTGGAGTGTTCAGCTAAGCTATCCCTAGGGATTAGTCAGCTATTCGAAAACGCGCTAGAAATGTCTCTAGTCCCTAAGAAAAAGGGCTGTTTTAGTGATTGCTTTTGTCTGTAAACCATGTACCTTATTTTTTATATTATAAACTTACCGTTCTTTTATATTAACATCTGCTATAACACTCGCTGTGTACACATTAATAAAAATTACTAAGTATCTATGAAAAATATGCATTTTGATTTATCTAGCATTATTAACAATGCTGTAGACTGTTTAGTACTGACTTCTTTTCAAATTTGGTAGGTTGTTCAAAACAGAAATATTAATGTCCGGGAAAAAAGGGGCGTTAGGAGGCTTAAGTTACAAAAATGTTACGTACCAATCACAGCCACCATAAATTTCAGAGAAATCAGGGTAATTATAAATCTTTTGTACGTGTAGAAAATTTTATTTAGTTTAAATTTAATGGAGTGTCCTATTTTTAATTCCTATGTCCTATGTCAATATAAATGTTTATAGCTGATTTTCTGTTGCATATAAAGCCTTCTCTTCATATTTAGTAATTTGTTTATGTAAAAATTTAACGGCTAAATTGTTTCCAAGAAAATGTTGTTATCGATGTAAATATTTCATAAAAATTTTCGGAATATTGACTTGAGCCTTTATAGACCCAAACTTTAAGATAATGGGCCCCCAATAACAAAAAGATTGGTATTTATAAAGCCCGTCTACACATAACATTTTACTTGTCAGGTAATACGGATTAAAAACTAGCGTTTTGTTGTAAAACTGGATGGTATAACTGTCAGTTCTCTATCTTCCGTTTTATTTCTGTTCAAGTAAAACGTCCTTTTTTCGTCTATATACAAGGTTTTACTTGGTACGTTTTGATTGGACAGGTAAGATTGACAGGTAAAATGTTAACAGTAGACGGGACTTTACAGGCTTCTGAGAATAGATAAGCAAAATACCATATTTATTCAGCTTTTTTAACAGGACCTGATATCATAAAGTAAATAAAATAAGTAGAAATACATATACAAACGTTTATTAAAGCAAAATCAATAAATTCTTAAGAAAAGGAAAATTATATCTATTTAAGTTACTACGGATTAAAGTCTGGATTCTTCCTCAATATTACAAATCCTTCCATAATGGGCGTGAGGGAAATATATTCCTCAGTTGCCAGTTCTGCTCTCTCACCATGAGCCAAAAGGACTGGAGTTGTGTGAGTCTGAAAGCCTGTAATTGTTTTTGGTTTGCCCGCTTGTCCTACTACATCAACAGCCTATAAAAAATAATAAAGTTAAAATTGATAAATTAAAATATAAATAAAAATGAGGACTTACCAAACCAACCCTGACAGGTACAGGTAATGCATTGAGATCTTCATCAAAGGTGACCAGCATCCTTGGCTGCATAGCTGCTGCCAAAGTATACAGGAGGTAATGAGATTTTCCCAAGATAACTGTAACAAAAAAAAACATAATTTCATTAAAAAATATTAGTTTATGAGCCTTCAGAGTTTTTGAACTTACTTGTTTTGACATCTAAAAATCCCACCAAGGTTGCCATCAAGCCAGCTACAGCTACAGGACTCATCAGCTGTCTGTCACTGTGATATGGGCTCAAAGTAAGTGTTCCTTTTCCTAAGTGACATAGACCCTGTGCAATTCTGACCATAAACAAATTGTTTGGATCCTTTGCGTGGTACTGTGCCAACTGTCTCAACATTGCAGCTAATCTTGCATTGTTTGTTCCAGCACCAACCAATCCCATAGCAAAGATGGCATTGTGAGCTACCTCAGCATCACTGTCATGAGAAAACTTGCTCAGTGTATCTAGAATGCTCAATTTCGGATTGGAAACTGATATGAGACCCAAAGCAAGAGGCACTGCTCTTCTAATAACTGGTTCACAGTATCTGAGTAAATGTCCAAATGTTCTGAAGGCCATTTCACTGCCAATATCTTCTCCCATACTGATTAACGCTATTCCAAGGACTGCAATGGCTTGGCGAGCTGACAAATCCTTTTCCTTTTCTTCAGGTTTCTCTTTCTTATCTTTTTCCTTGTCCTTTTTATCTTTTTCTACAGGCTCAGGGGGTTCATAATGTTCAGAACAGATGTGGAGTAAGTGCTGAACCTTTAGAACGTTTCCTGTGCCAGCATAAGCACAAATATCAACCATTGTTGTTGCCATAGACCTGAAGGGCTCTGGAATAACTTGCAAAGCAGCAATAATGGTATCAATGCTTTCTTGCTTGCCCAAATGGCACAATCCTATAGCCAAAGGCAAGAATCTAGCATAAGTGTCTTTCAATTCAGTCTCACTCTTCTCCATTAGAGTCTGCATAATGGTGGTTGTAACTTGTGAATTGCCTGATCCTACTGCAATCATTCCACAGGCTAATGCCGCCATTCCAATTACCTCCATGTTAGATTTAGGATCAGAAAATACTGGGAACAATAAACTTAACACAGCTTCACGGTTAGAACCAACATAGGCTAAACCTAGACCTAAAATCGCTCCAGTTCTCATAATTGGAGCATTATGCAGGACATAATCACTGAGAAGAGCCAGAGCAGGGTCACACTCATTCCTAACACCACAGTTTACAATACCACAAGCTAGAAGTGCTCCTGATTTGATGTGATCTTCAGAAGAATACAAGTATTTATCAATAGGTGTTAAACCTCCATCGACATCCCATAAAAGCACCAAACCAAGAGATGCAGTAGCACTAAGCATCCCATGTTCTTTGTTCTTGTAAAGCCATTTATTACCATCTTCCATTAACAGTTTGTCTTGGCCAAAAGCAGCATTGACAAAACCATTAACAAAACTGGCAGCTAGATTCTGTCTGGCAGAATCAACTTGGCTTCCACCAAAAGAGGGTCTGGTGTTTTCTAAGTGGGATTTATACACATCCTCGGGAGTTTTGGGTTCCATAATATCAAGTTCTCTTGCTAAATTCAAGAAATGGTTATTCAAATGACAGTTAGCCATTATTTCAGCAAGGTCCTCATATTCTGGAGTAGTTTCAGGAATTTCAATATAAATCTGTTGACGCCCCAACATGAATGCAAGCTGTTTTTGGATTGTCCTATAAGAAACAATTAAATAAATAACAACTAAAAAAATCTATGCTCAAAAATACATACGTATCTTTGCACGACAAAAATATTTCTTCTATAAGTGCATGGTCATTTAACTGCAAAGCTAGTCTCAAGGACTGAGGATACTGATTAAACTTCCTAAATAATAACAGAGCTGTCTGAAGTAAAGTTGTATTCTCTGGGTCAGCTACATATGGTACACAACTAAAAAAAATACATGTATATAAAATTATATTGCACTATCAAATAATAGTATACCTTGTAAGATATAAGCAAACTCTAGGATAAATATTGTCATCAACATATTCTTCAAGCAAATCAAGACGTTCAATCTCCATCAACAAGTCACAAGCTTCGGCTTCAGCATTGTGTGCCATGTTATAAGGCACTATTTGCTTGGCTAGCTGTATAAGTTTATCTTCCATATCTTTATCATCTACTTCTTTGTCTGCCCACTCTCCAGCAATTTCGCCAGCTAAATGTCTAATTAAAATAAACGTAAATCAGTATAGATCTAGAAAAATTAAAAAATACATCATATTTTACCTTACATACTCGTGCCCCCATTCTCGTATTTGATCTAAATCTGATAGAAGTCTATACTTTAAACACTCACGTGCTTCGCCCATAGTCATGGCTAGAACTGAAACTACATCAGCACAAACCTTCTTTACATTGGGATTGTTAATTTTATCGTAAACTTGTTTCATTGTATCATAATGTGGCTTCATAAATTTAAGAGGCTTTGGGACGGACGTCATAGATGTAGTTGAGGCTCTTATTTTTGTACCGAGCACATTCAGAGCAGAAAGATATAGATTTTCATCGTTTTCCTACAAAATATTCAATGAATAACAATGACTAAACAAATTAGAGGTTAACTTACAGTCAGCCTTTCAACACAAAGGTTTAGCTCGTCTTGCAGTTGTTTATCTTCTTCTGACTAAAATGCAATAATAATATATAGCTAGAATTTACAATTAATGTTAATTTTTAACTTACTAATTCATTTTTATCTTCTTCAGTATCCTTTTTTGCTTCTACTTTAGTGGGTGCTTCTGCCTTTGCTTCGGCCATCTTTCAAATACTTTGCAATAATATATAATTTCAAGCTCTATATGTACATACAAATCTCAAGCTCAATTATTGTTTAAACTCAGAAATACGGTATTAAAACAAATCATTTACTAATTTACGTTGATTTGAGTTTTGCACCATCATTTCGTCAACGTCAATAATGTCAATTGTCAGTTTTTCCTGTCAATTTCCTCAGTTTAGTTTTCGAGGATGACGACAGGTGCCACCACCAGTATCTTTAGAAAATTAATCAACCTCCTATTCATTTTAAATTTTCGTTTCTAAACAAATAAGGAACCTCTAGGTTAAGACCTGAAGAAAGAAAATGCATTTTTAAAGTTGAGACTGTTTAATATATACTAACATGTTCAAGATATTTAGAACACCAAAAGCCAGTAAGTATTGTGTTGTTATTCTAGAATTCAAATTTCCCTCGAGGAAATCACGAAAATAGACGAAAACTCGCCGAACACAAATGGAAAACGAGCAGTAGTTGAGGATATATTGATGGAGTGCCTTTGGGAAGTTAATAAAATATCCTAAAGTAAACATTGTAGTATATTTCGTTTATAGTACATTAATATCTGAAGAAAATGTATCAATATGAAAAGACATGAACTTCCATTAATAAATCCAAGAAATATGAAGGAAACAAATCACTATTTGGTTCAATTTTTAATGAGGTATTTTTAAATATCTTGCAATAGAGTGAAACGTTAAAATTCCCCTAAGCACAGCTTATTTGTGATTTATTCACATCACTTGGCACTTGTACTTAAAAACAAAATGTGTGTTTTCAGTTTAAAACATCCTTTGCTACAGGTATCCTTTTCATAATAATTAGTACCAGGTATATAGTATCTTTATATATTTAATTTATATATATATTATTGATTTCAAGAATAGCAAGCTTATAGAAATTAATAGAATTAATTTCTTATAGAAAATGGGGGAAGTCAATCTTCCCTAACTACTAATATGGTAACAATGAACTCGGATAAGGCTGCTGTGAAACGCGGAGCAACTTCTAACGAAGAGACTTCTTCGTTGCAGCAACCAACTTCCTGCGATGAATCTCCTAATCTATTGGTTTACAAAAATGTGAGCCTTTGCTTAATTATTGTAAATACTATATTACTGAAGACTAAATTAATTTTTAGATGGAAAAAATCATTGAAAAAATGCAAGATGAGGCCACAGGTGTCCCTGTGAAAACAGTAAAATCATTTATGTCAAAGATTCCCTCTGTGTTTACTGGCACTGATTTAATAACTTGGATGATGAAACATTTAGATGTGGAGGAACAGCAAGAAGCATTGCATTTGGCTCATCTTATTGCTTCGCACGGATATTTTTTCCCTATTGATGATCATATGTTAACAGTTAAAAATGACGGCACCTTTTACAGATTTCAGACTCCATACTTTTGGCCATCGAATTGTTGGGAACCAGAGAACACAGATTATGGTAAAAACATATAAGAAAGTAGTTGAATATTTATATTAAATATATTTGATTTGTAGCTGTCTATTTATGCAAAAGAACAATGCAGAACAAGACTAGATTGGAACTGGCAGATTATGAGGCAGAAAATTTAGCTAGGCTTCAGAAAATGTTCTCCAGGAAATGGGAATTCATTTTTATGCAAGCAGAGGCACAGAGCAAGGTGGATAAGAAACGGGATAAGCTGGAAAGGAAAGTTTTAGACAGCCAGGAAAGAGCGTTTTGGGACGTTCACAGACCTATGGTGAGTAATTATACTTTTTATTATTTTATATATTTTTTACAGTAAAAAAATATATTTTTAATTTATTACTTTTTCAAACGTTCTTCAAATTCTTCAATTTAATAGCTGTTTTATATACATGTTTTGTAAATGTATACAGCCTGGTTGCGTGAATACAACGGAAATTGATATTAAGAAAGCCTGCCAAATGAAGAAACCTACCAAGGGATTAAAGAGTTTGCAAATAGGTCCAGCAAAATTGTCTCCTTCCACATCAGGGTTACATTCAAAAGTCACAGTAGATTCATTAAAAAGGCAGATTAATTTGCTTAAATCTCAGTTGGAAAGGAGAAATATTAAAGTATCGAAAGCTGCAGAATCGTAAGAAATAACAAGAGCTTTAATACTTATTTTTAATGAGAAAATTTTTCAGGTTTTTAGCGTACTATGAGCAGTATTTAGAATACGACCCGTTTTTTGTACCCCCCGAGTATTTGAACCCTTGGATATACGATAATACGGAAATGTGGGATCAAGAAAAATTAGCCAAAGACATATCAGCCCGTCGCGTAAGGAGATGGGCTTTCAGCCTTCAGGAACTGCTTGCTGATCCTGTGGGCAGAGAACACTTCGAAAAGTTCCTTGATAAAGAATTTAGCGGCGAGAATTTAAAGTAATTCTTCATATCTTTATGTGTGTGTGGTATATGTTTGTGGTTACAGGTTTTGGGAAGCTGTGCAAGAATTGAAGGCGCTTCCTCAAAGCCAAGTACAAAAAAAAGTGTCTGAAATCTGGGACTACTTTTTAGCGTCTGATGCAAAATGTCCGCTAAACATTGACTCGCAATCTTACGAATTTACTAAGAAAAATATGGAAGTACCTGATAGATGGACATTTGATATCGCGGGGGTAAAATCTATTTTGACTAATTTTTACGAAACCGTAGAGGTGCCATTGCCACACTGAAAAATATGTTTAGCAAAATTTACATTTTTTCTGTAAATTATAAATTTACACTTTTTCTGTTAATTTACAATTTAATTTACAGATTTTCTGTAAATTTACACTTTCCGTAAATTTCATGCGAAATATACTACCCAGAAAGTGTAAATTACAGAAAATCTATAAATTTTGCTGATTTACAGAAAAAGTGTAAATTTACAGAAAATTTGTAAATTTTACTGATTTACAGAAAAAAGTGTAGATTTTACTGATTTACAGAAAAAAGTGTAAATTTACAGAGAATGTGTAAATTTTGCTAAAAATAGTTTTTAATATCAGCTCTACGCTTTCGTATGTTTTAAATCTTTTAAATTTTCTGTAAATTTACAGATTTTCTGTAAATGTATACTTTTTCTGTAAATTGCATGCGAAATATACTACCCAGCAAGAAAAAGTGTAAATTACAGAAAATCTGTAAATTGTACTGATTTACAGAAAAAAGTGTAAATTTACAGAAAAAGTGTAAATTTTGCTAAAAATATTTTGTAATGTTTTTATGGCAGCTCTACGCTTTCGTACATTTTAATTATTTTAATTTTCTGTAAATTTACAGATTTTCTGTAAATGTATACTTTTTCTGTAAATTGCATGAGAAATATACTACCCAGCAAGAAAAAGTGTAAATTACAGAAAATCTGTAAATTGTACTGATTTACAGAAAAAAAAATTCTGTAAATTTACAGATTTTATTTATTTACAGAAAAAAATGTAAATATAAAGAAAAAGTGTAAATTTTGCTAAAAATATTTTTTAATGTTTCGATGGCAGCTCTACACTTTCCTACATTTTAATATATATTTTTTTATTTTTTTTTTGTTTAGGCGCATGTATATCATTTAATGAAAAGTGATAGTTACTCGAGATATCTTCGTTCAGAGATGTACAAAGACTTTTTAAATGGTTCCAAGAAAAAGGTAAGAATATTGTTTTTATTTTCTATTAATCTGATATGTTGACTATTTGCTTTCATTTGCAGACATCTGTAAAAGGTATTCGCTCAATAGTATCTTTTACAGGACGAAAAGACAATGTAACTTAGAGTAGAATAATAATCACTTTGTAATCAAATTTACTCATTTTTTAGTGAGTGAAAATTATCGACAATACTATATTCGCCAGTACGGCACGTTTCTGTTGACGTTACAAAAAAATATTTGTTGTGACACAAAAAAAATCATTGTTAGGTCAGTAATTTTTCGAGGATATTTTCAAAAGATAATTATTATATTGACCTTATAGTGACTCGGTATGACTTCATTAAAATGTTCTTGATATTTTTTAAACAAAATGAATATCAACTTGGTATATGATTTGATTTTTTTTTTGGACTGATTAAGACTAAAGAAGTGGTTTTATTTTGAAAGGTACTGTGTCACTGTAATAGCTGTTAAGTTGATATTATTTAAAAAAGCAGTGTGAGCAAAATTTGAACACTGCCAAAGGAAGCTAAAAAAACGGGTGTATCTGTGAAATATATACAGGTCTTTAAAAAAACGGGTAGTTATCCCATATAAAAAAAAACGAGTAGCGTAAGTAACCCATTTTAGTGATTGTACTGATGAAAAACCAAACAGCACACATATAATGCTAAGGTTCTCATTTAATTTTGTAGTGGAATTTAATTTTTATCTACATAAAATAGCTCCTCTTTATTTAGCTAGTTTTATATATATATTTTTTTTAATTTGAAATATTTATTCGAACTGATATACAGGGTCTGCCAAAAATTATTGAAAATTATATTTCTTGATAGTCTTTTCCTGTTTTGATATTTTTGAATATATTATCCCATAATACCACGTTTTGTAAGAGTTATCAAAATTAATCATATAAACATTTTTTCAACAACTTGATAATAAAAATTAATTTTGGCACGCCTTGTACGTATACATATTTTATTAGTATTATAAAAGTATTGGTTCTAAATGACTTGACAGCCTGTATTACATTGTATTATTTATTTATTTATTTATTTTTATTGATTGCGCTGAATACAAGGACACTGGACTGAAAAGAATTTTGGGGGAGGGGGTGTTGACTAAAATTCTATCAGGAATGCTTGTTAAAGCGTGAGTATTTGGTCCTCTGTATTTCAAAAATTTCAAGGAAGTTACTTTGTAGTGCAAAATCATAATGAAAAAAGTATTGATGTATGTTTTTTCTGGTAGTCTGTGGGTTGACTAGAACTTTAGAGCAATTTTTTAACAGATTAGCTTCTTAGAATGGCTGGTAGATTTCTGATGGCAGTTATAGATGAAATTAGAACTTGCCAAAATTTTACCTGGTCAGTTTTGTATTTATTTGCACGAAAATCCTTATTCCTTATGCAATGCGTACGTACCGGTTGTGTTCAGATTACCTTATTGTCGTTTTTCATGCACAGGACTGTTGTCCAATGCACGTCAAATCTAATCCAGTTTGATTTAACGTATTTTTCTCAGTATTAAGACGTATTTAATTTTAATCACGCCTTTCATAACTAATATGGGGATATAAATATTATATCGTGCTAGTATATATATATATATATATATATATATACAATTTTTTTATTACATCCCCATATTTTTAATTTTTATAAGCGATATTTACAAAAGCGACTTGTGCATTATTTATCAAAAGAAATGAAGATATGAGAGAAGTTTTATTGAAATAATCAAATAGCAAAACCAAATGCTTCGAGACCAGTAATTTTGCCGTAAAATATAATTTCGTAATATATGTACAGACATCTAGAAAATAATGTTAATTGTAAAGGAGTTGATGTTAGATCTATGTATCTGTGTATGGGTGTTTACTGATATACATAGGTGCATATATTAGACTCAAAAAAAAACATGTCCAGAATAGAGCAGTTTAACTACACAAGAAAAACTAATAAATAATTGTTAAAATTTGTTTCGTTTTATTTTGTCACCCTTTTGGTAAAAAAATAAAATACCAGCGTCAGATAAATATAACTTTATTTCCTAGTGATTGTGTATATTATGATAATACCCTAATATAGGTATGTATAGTGTAGGTAAAAAATTATCCACAACCCCATTTTTTTTTCAATAAAACACGTAAATTAAAATGGGATATGGGTTTTTAATGAGTGACTAAATCTTTACATCTTATAAAAAAGTATCACAATCATTTTTGCAGTAACTCAACACTTATTGTATATAAAATCACTATCCAATATTATACCTCGATAAAATTATCTAATGCACTTTAAACATATTATGGTTTACCTGTGAAGGCACATTTCATATTAATTTTTATGTTAGTTTAAACACATAGAGTTGTTTTACGTAAGGAATGAACTTATAAATACAAATACTGTAATTTTTATTGAGGTATGATATCGTATAATAAAAAATAAAGAACATATAACGACGTACTTACAGAGTACCAATCAAGATTTTTTAAAATAATGTCAAACTATGTTCATTTCAAATTGTAAGTATTATTAGCTTAAAAGTAACGTAACATTTTTGTACGTTTTTGTTCCACCATATTATACTAAGCGCCCTATAGGTCATAGTTTAACATCAAAATTATAACTAAAGTCTTTTATTTCCACAGATGCATTTATCTAAAAGAATTTGAAGCTCTCAGGGAATCTACTGCAAAATATTCTCATGGATGTTCATTGCATCTCCATTTTCCTTAATGATATATTATGTTATATACATAGTTTGGCTGTTTGAGAAATATGCTTCAAGAACATCACAGGAATATGTATGATTTATTTTAGAAAGATATATGTATCTGTGAAGGAACTGAAAATGATATTTGAGAGGCAATATTAGCGATTTTACAATACTATCTTATGACTAGCCAAATGGACAGTAATATACAAAAATAAATATTAACATTGTTAGTTTATTTGTTCAGGTACAAAATCAACTTGCTAGCGATTGGCTTTAGTTGGTTTATTGAACCCTTAAGCTTTTAACGTATTTTGAAGAAAGTGGAATGCCTAAAAGAAGACTTATTATATATATCCTCAGTTAAATATGTTCCTGCTGTTTTTCCTTTGGTTGGAGATATAACTAGGATACTAAAATTTAATAAATTAAGTACTAATTTGAAAAACAACTCAGGAACATTAATCCTAGTATATAGTTAGGTATTTTTTTAATATAATAGTCAATGAATTTTAGCAATAACAATTAAAGTATAAATGGATATGTAGATGAGAATTGTATAGCAAAGGGGTTTCCTATAAAATACAGGCTTGTCCCAGGGGTGGTTTAATCCCTAGTTTTATCCACTACTAGAGCTACTTTTTGCTAGAGCAATCCAGTAGGAGTAAATTTATTCTGACCTAGGTCCTGCCTAGGTAATGGTACTACCCTTTATTGAATATAATAGCACCAAAACTCATACCAAAATATTCTTGAGCGATATCAGATTCGTATTGTTGTATTTTGTATAATCTAACGGCCAAGATGGTTCATTTTTCTTCGTCTGTGTATGCCACACCAATATCTAAACGAAACAAGGATACGAGTGAGTTTAAAGGCAAATATAAAACAGAAATTCTTACTCTTGTGCAATTGGAAGCCAAAAGTTCAGCCTGTGAAGGCTCGAAAGGGGCCAAGCTTTTCAGAAAGCCGTCTTCTTCAAAGCCGGGCTTGTAAGGCATGGAAGCTTGTGGTCTGGATAAGAGGAATTGGACTGAGACCGCAAATCCGGCCATATCCACTGCAAATTTCCTTCCGCCTATCCAGCCGTCGTAAAATCCATGGAATGTGCCGTTCCGGACAATTGGTGAACTTACGCCAGCCTTTGTAATAAGACCCACAGGAAATAAGGATACAGTTTTTGTATACCGTATCTGAAAACGGAAATTAATTTCGTTTTAGCTAATCTCTTTATTATATAGTTTTTTTAATAATTTAAGTAGCCGTTCTGTGAACACTTCAGATTATGTAAGTATTACTGGTTGCCTAACAGTAATTATGCATTTCAAAATAAATGTTTTACAAATAGTTATAGTATTCAATAAATATGAATTAATTGTATATTTTTTCTTGTTTTTTAATACCTATAGGGGCACTTACAACAACCCAATTTATATCATCTATACATTTATAAACAATTATAATTTGTAAGGATATAAGAATTATTATATTATTATTTTTTTTTACTAGCTTGAATATTAATAGGGGTTTGTCCAGTTATTCTAATTTTTTAGATATCTATGTTTATATTCCTATAGAAGTAACTTAAGTCCGGAATTATTTTTCTGATAATAATAAAATAAATCTTTTGAACTTCTACTTTGCCACGTTTTTTTACACACATAAGGGGTAGTAGGCCTTGCTTATGATCTATTTTGACAGTCAACAATGGGATTTTCATTTGTTTATATTTGAGAATGTGTTAGTGAGGCTATCATGGAAATATATTTTCAGAAAGTGTTTTTTTGCAGTTTTTTAGATTATGAAGCTAAAAGGTACAGTAAAAAATACAACATAAATACTTTTACAGGTTGTTAGTATGTTTTATAACTTTAAATTTGTTTTAAACTTGTTTCGCCAACGTTTTTGTTTGTTGGACTTTTGATTAGGGAAGACGCTGGCAATTTTTTTAGTTTAGCCTTGTTTTATATGTAAAAAGCTTGTGTTTTTCATAATTGTGTATGGCAATCACCAGTTAATTAGTTTATTAGCAAATTACCATCAGGTTCTTTTTCTCAAATCAATTTGTTATATGTTGCTAATAAAAAAATTAGTGGGTGGGTTAGAGTTATCGTTATATAATTAGGTCTAGTAATAATTATTTTATGTTTTTTTTACAGCTTTTTTATCTTATTGGTGTTATAAATACAATATTTTGGATGGATGAAAGCATGTATTGTACACATATGCCTGTGTATAATAAAGCTGTCTAAAAGGTATGTTTTAGTATATTAAGTACAATAGATTGATATTCATGAGCTATTTTATTTTAATTTAACTGTGTAATGCCTTTTCAGACTATTTTATTAAAAAAAAATTATTAATTTACACTAACCAAACCATACCAAACCTAAGTACATTCTTTTCTTCATTTAGTAGCACAGATATTGTGTTTTCTGTGTTAGTAGTTTTTAAAGCACAACAGCAATTTTTTTTGCTCTAAAACCATTCTTGGAAATATTTTACAAAGTATATAGCAAAGGCATTTCATATATAAATTAATATAATTTAATGAGGTTTGCGTAGTATATTATTTTTTATAGTTTAAAATTATAATAATGCAATGTTTTTATGGTTTCTGGTTTAGTAGCATTATTTATTATTATTATTTGTATTTCCTGACTTTTGGAAAGGTTATTTTTTTTATTTCCTATCCATAGTCGTGTTTTAGAGACCATAAAAATAATATTGCCGTTTCGATTCCATGCATATGGTGCTTTTCCGTACATTACTGAGCTCTTTCATTTATCACGATGCCTACAACATATAAATCACTGCAGATATTCTAGCCCAGCGGTAAAATTTTATATATCACGTAATAAACCTCTCCAGAAAGCCCAACTGTTAAGCCCCAAAGGCAATTTTTTACCATTACGGGGCTTTTATATATAAGACAGGTAGCTAGGTAGATTATTGATACATAGGAGGCTGTCTTTAGCGTTAAAAATCAATGTGGGAACAGGGTTTTTACCTATATTTTTCACCTCTGAGAATATACAGGGTGGTCCTAACTGTATTCGGGTAACTTCGGTAGCATATATATATTCATATTCTGCAGATAAAAATTAGTAAAAAAGTTCTTATAAATTTATGTCCTAAAATGCTTCGTTTCGGAGATACAGGGTGTAGATGTTCTATTTTTACTTCGGGTTTTTTCAAAAAATTTCTGAACTATGTCGATATTTGGACAAAAATTGATATCTGGGTGTTTTTTGAGATGAGAAATTTGGTTTCGATGTCAATGTCTACTTGTAGGGGGCGCCAGTGTTTGAACTGTTTTGTAGAGTAATAACTTTTCGTTCGTACCTGTATAAAACTACTGTGTGAAAAAATATATTTCCGTCGTTTTTTACGTAAAAAATGTCTCTTGGTAAAAATTGTTACGAGCAACCGTTCTCAAGATATTTGGAATGGAAATAGTCAATACATATCATTACTGACAAAAAAATAAACATGTTGAATAGATATAGTTATATGTTATCTAGTAATGAAATGATAAATTTAGGAACTTTTTATTTTATTTCCTGTGATTTATTTTTCTAAGTTAATAATAAATTTTTCTTGAAAAAAAAACAGTTTCTGTTGAACTTTTGGCACAAAAACATTTCAAATGTATTTCAATCTAATAACTATTTAGTTATTATAACATGTTTAATTTATGTTAATAATTACATGTATTGATAATTTCGATTCCAAATATCACGAGCACCTTTACGAGACCTTTTTTAGTTTTATACAGGTAGGGACGAAAAGTTATTACTGTTCAAACCATTAAAAAATATGTAGGTGGCGCCCTCTACAAGCAGGAGTTATATTGATATCAAAATTAAGTTTCTCATATCAAACAACTCCCAGACGCCAATTTTCATTCAAATATCGAGGTTAGTTCAGAAATTATTTGGAAAAAATCGAAATAAAAATGAAACTTCTACACCCTGTATTTCCGAAACTAAGTATTTTAGGAGATACACTTATACCAACTTTTTTACTGATTTTTATCTGCAGAATATGCTGCCGAAGTTTACCGAATACAATTCGGACTACCCTGTATATCGATCCTCAAACTTATGTAATAAAACTTTTCCAAAGCAATTTTCAACCTTTTCAAATATAACTACAGTTCAAAGACTCTAATGTCACAATTTTAAAATGAAAATATATTTGCAGTATTGTATAGTTCTAATTAGAAGAGTATTAGAGAAAATGTCGAGAAACATTAAATGGAATGAATGAAGTATAATGCAGTTCTGTCTTTCTATTTTTCCTATTTATCTGCAAGTTTGCCTATCAGTGATAAATTATAACGACCTGATACCTTTTAGTTTGCTTTTAGTCTTAAAAATCGATAGAGAGAACAGTATTTCCAGGTATAGTACTCGAATATTTTAATTTATCTCAACGTTTCCCAACTTAAAATGCGATTTTTCTTCTTTGATCTAAAGTTTTTTATGAATATCTTGAAAATATTTTAAGATAAAATGCGAAACAAATAAAAAACAGACTGTTTTGAGTGCTTACAGCGGATTTTAAATTAAAACGATCTAAATATAAATAATTAAAAAAAGATATACATCAAAGTAAATATTAGTTAGATTAAAGTAAAACTATGAATACTTCAAGATGTCGTATTTTTGAAGAACTTACCTCACTAAACAGATCTAAATCATAAGTATTATCGTCATCCGCGAAATAAAATACTCCATTGTAAGCATTTTCCCTGATCCAGTTCAAGCCTTTGTTCCGATTTGACACTCCTCTGGGTTTGGGTCCTTTAGTTTTGTTTTTGTATTCCACAGGCATAGGAGCTTGAAATTATAAAATTGGTACTGTTGCAGTAAAAAATATAAAATATCCAATACCTATCATGTACTGATATTTGATACCAGACCTTTTCAACACATCATCAACTAAACTATTGGTACTATAAGCATCTTCGATCACAAGCCATATTAAATTGGGCACTAACATAAGAGTATGTGATAGCCGAGTTAACTCAGCTAGTTGTTCAGGTCTTTTATAAGTTGGAGTTACTATGTACAGTGGGGGTAGATCGGTTGCAGTTTTTCCAATAACCGTTTCACACTGAAACAACCATTCAGTATTAAAAAAATCCTGAAACTACAGGAATTTCGGACTTCCATTGTCTTTATTTATTTAATACTTCTACCTATTGAATTTAATGTTTAATGACTATCGTGAAATCACCCTAATGAAGGTGTAATAAAACAATTAAGCAAAGTAATCACATACCAATAAACTCTGCAAATTTTCATTTTTTAAGGGCTGTAAAAGTTTGGAAGTTCTGTAACTTCCCCAGGAAGCATTTTGGGCACTTTTTCTTGTCTTTTTATCTGTAGTATCACTGAAGTTTGGTACTTATATTTTTTTGGTACTTACCGGCGCCTTCCTTTCAAAACTATATTCATTTTGAGTGTAGGGTGTGTAAATGTGATATTGCACAAACAAGACGGTTGCACAGACGAATACTATCAAATAGAGCTTCATAGGAATCCTCATAATTTCGTAAGCTATCTCTCCCTGTAACAAAATATTTCTTTTTCGTTTTTTTTTCACCAGTTATTTTAAGTAAGTTTTTATTCTTACACAAAACATAAACAATCGCCAGAACGCCATGTTTTGCTATGCTGTATGTACATGATTGTATGAAATTGGAATTGTAATGTGAGATTGCACTTATCTTTAAAATACTTCCTCTGTTGTTTTATTCTCGGTTACTAGTTTCCTGTAAACTGTCTAGGCCATAAGATATCTTTTTTTTTTAAATCTTTACAAAAATTTTAACATTTGAAATATACGATGTATCCTACATAGATAAAATTATTTAATACCTCTAAATAACTAGTCAGTATTTAATCCAGTCAAATTACCAGTAGATAAGAAAAATCTTTATTTATTATTTTTTGATATTGTCGCGGTTTGATGTAAGAATGTTAAAAATAATACACCAATATACAGGGTGTCCCAGTGTTCCGGAGACATAGAACTACTATATAAACACATTTGTTAAGATATTTTAAGCGATTTGAACGAGATGTGGGGTGCCTGTGTTTTGCTAAGCGCTTCAACATCTGACTTTCAAAAAAATTAAGAAATAGTACGGGTAGGGTTTTCCAACTTCACCGACGACCGATTTTTTTTTCGTAAAATGATTCTTCTAGTATTTACTACATTTTTTTGTCTTTTGTAAAAAATACGCGGTGGCGTTTTTTGAGGAAAAATATATTTTTCCGAATCTGACTTCCAAAAAATGTTTCTTTTCACATCAAGCTATGTTATGTTATTAGCTTATGTTAGTATCACAAATTATATTTGACAATAAGCTTCATAAATTGTAAATTAATTAATAATTTACCTTTTGTATAGAGGTAATTCCGATCAATTAACTTATTTTGATTAAAAAAATATCTAGATGTCCTATGGCCACGAAATATTTGAACTCCCTGGAAAAAAATTCTCCAATTTTTTTTTCAAAAACTATGCGATGTGGTGATTTTTTACAACAGAAAAGAAATGTAGTAAATATGAGGACCATTTTAAGAAAAAAAATCAGTGCTTAGTGAAGTAGGAAAATATTTTAAAATTACACTTCTATTCATTCATGTAATTAAAAATTTCCATATTGGTAAAGGACCAATAGGTAAGAGGCAACAAAATAGAGTCAAGTTGAATGGAAAATGTTGGCTCATCACATGAATTAGGTATATTTATGCCTAATCACACAGTGCTTTGTATAAACATAATATACATTTTAATACTAATTAATATACCTATGTGCTTAGTCGTTGAAAGAGAAAAAAAGTCGTACCTAGTATCCATTGCTAATAAAAAATTTTATAATATTTTTGATATGTTTTGACTGAAAGCCAGAATAAATGTTACTAAGTATATAAAATAAAAAAAAAATGAATATAAGATCATTAATTAAAAATAAAATTCTGAGAAAATATCTAATTAACAATACTGATTTTTATCATATTTTTGCTCCAAACTATTCAAATTTACTTTTTTTTTCACTCGTAGGGTCTATAAATTTCTTAGCAGAGATTAAGTTACTTTAAAACTGTAAATCAATTGCTTATTTTTCTATTTTCTCCTTGTGACAGTTATACAGGGTGTCTCAGAAATAAGTGCAAGTACTTTAAATGGTAGTATAGTTCGACCTCAGTAACACGCCCATGAGGTTTTTTTGCGAAAAATTTTTTTTTGAAAATTCGAAATTTTTTGGAATTTTTTTTAGTTTTTAGTTAAAAAACATAATTTCTTGATAATATGGCAACATAGGTATTAGATTAAATTTACAAGTAAGAAAATCCAGAAAAGATCCAGTAGTAAAAAAATCATTTTTTTTGGAAATTTTCAAAGTAAAATAACTCCGTTATTTTGGACTTAATTGAAAAACGATAAAGAGAAAATGTTTCTTTTATCGAGATCTACCACCCCTTAAAATACTTGCATTTATTTCTGGGACACCCTGTAGATCTCTTTATAATATCTTTTATAAACTCGTAAGCACCCCCTAGAACGTACCTTCATTTATACACTCGAAAAACTATAAAAATCATTTAATTCACTATTCAACTTTAGAATACTATATACGAAACCGTCTAATATATGAATTATTATAAAGATGAAATTTATATAATTTTTTTAATATTTTTTATAAATTCGTAATAATTTTTGAAACCCTACCTTCATTTATGTAGTTTTTGGTAATTTTCGAAAATCTCAAAATCACACTTAATTCACTCTCAAACTTCAGAATACTATACGAAGCTGTCTAGTATATGAATTATTACAAAAATAAAAAAATAATACATTTTTCAACGACTCAGAAACTCAATTAGTGCTCAGTAAAATAAGAAGTCTTTACCGTGCATAGCTCTAGGAGAATATGGATAAGATTTGTATGCCTGAATTAATTTTATCATGTTTGCATTGCGAGATAAGAGATGTTGAACGAAACTGCCAGGTTAATTAATGAATATAGAGTGTAATAATTAATAATTATGCAAGGAACAATAAAAAATAGGATTTTTAAAAAAAATTAATTTATAAAAAAAACATTTTTGTAGTATTTTTTAAGAATTATGTAAGATAATTACTTACCATCAGAGCTTTTAGCAAACATAATATTTGAGAAGCTTTCGTAATTGATTAAAACACTCGATAAACACTAAGTAATATATTGGTAATTAGTTTATGTCATACTTAATGATTAATGAGACATTTATTATAAACAGTAGTAGTAAAATGCACTAATTATACTTAAACTTGTTTATAATATTATATTTATTTTATATTATTTAAAAAAAATATATATATTATATTTATACAGTATAAAAAGCTCGCTTGTATAGGGATGAACTAAAATATCAATTTACTGAAAAACATTCATTGAATAATGAAAAGGGTTCGTTGTTATTGAGGCTTCCTTGTATCCCGTAGTTGTCTTCATCCATTGTTATTTTCTTTAAACACGCTCTGTTCTCTACAGGGAGTTTTTATAGTTCTTATTTTTTTTAATTCCTACAAATATTTATGTCCATTTAACTTAAAACACCCTCTATACTATGCCCGAAATATTTCCTGAAACATTTCTCGAAATACTCAGAAATAAGCTTAATGGTTTTTCATCTCAACAATCATAACATATACAATTTTATATCTAATATATATAAGAAACAGCAGCAATTTCAGGAGTAGTTTCGAGTCGTTTTTAAGAGATGCAAATAGGTCAAGACAAACGGAAACAAGCCGAGACAATCGGAAATTAGACGAGGCGAGCTAAAGTTAGACGAGGAAATACGACCTTCGGACTGTTTTCCGCGTAGTATAGAGGGTGTATAAGCTTAAATCCGAAATATTTCACAAAAAATACTATCAGGAAGGTCTGAAATATATTGTTATTATTATTTATCTAAGAGATAGGTAAAAAAAATTTCGTACCATTGATTTTACTATAAGAATGTTAAAACTAGATGTTTGTATTAAAAAAAAATATGTGGTTACTTTCTAAGGGGTAGGGAAGAGTTAGTCAAAACGTACCTCATTTTGGTTCCACTTTCCTCCTGATAGTATTTTCTGTCTAAGAAATATTGCTGATTCTTTCACCCTGTATAGCTATTACCTATCCAACTTTAATCACACGTTGATGCTGAGTTGCAGTGAATCGAATGACTGCTTTGTTTCAGCTCGATTGCAAATTTGATAAGAATAATCGACAGAGTTCGATGTATCGAATAATGCAGGAATTCAATAGATAACACAAGGGTTTGACTGCATGAGGTGTTGTATGACACAATCGGCTTTGTACATACAGCGACTGTACAATGAGTTTGAGCGATTGCTTTGTTTAGTTTATCCCAGATCCTAAGTCAAACACATTCATTACGTAATGAAATATTTGCCTTCCTCTGTTTTATATAACAGTTAGTCAGGATAATTCAAAAATATTGGCTTGAATTCATTCAGAGCAATTTTACTTTTTTTTCTCTTTAAATCTAAATCTTCGGAGTTACCGAATTTGTTTACAAAGTGCGTTTAAGCAGAAGAGATATGCCTCATAGTAAGATTTTGAATGTCCGAAACTTGGTATAATGATTAATTTTCGATATACCGGGTGTTTCTCAAAAGTGGACCCATATAACTTTTTTATTTTTTCAAATAAAAAAACGAGATTTGGTACGTTAGTGTATGACATAAATTAGGATTGATTGACGTATTCAATTGTTTTCGGTCACATTCTGGTTCACTGGAAATGACACAACAACTGATTGATTACAACTTTTGACTTTTGTATAACACTCTGGGTATTTTTTTACTTTATTCGATAGAAAATGACACTCTGAATAGAATGACATATCACATGTTAACTTTTGACATTTTTGCATATGGTTTATTTGAAATTGTAACATGCGGTTCATAAGGATAATTTAACTGGAAGTACCTAGTCTGTGGTACCAAATTATTCGTAAAAAATGTTATGTTTTTTTCAAAATACGATTTTCAAAATACGAGTTGTAGTCATTTCCGGTGAAACAGTAAGTGACCGAAAACAATTGAATACGTCAATCAATCCGCAATTTATGTCATATACTAATATACCAAATCTCGTTTTTTTATCTGAAAAATAAAAATGTTGTATGGGTGGGCCACTTTTGAGAAACACCCTGTATTGCAGTTCTCTAGTCTTAGGAGATAAATTTTCAATTGGATGCATAAAAAATTAAAATGAATTTGAAAATTTTTAGAATTCATAAAATAATATTAAACCTTTTTAATATAAAAAGGATATATTATTATTGAGATCATGTTATTTCATTCTATATTTACTAAAGATATTTTATCTCAACCCACGTGTATATAAATATTTAATATTTACCTACGGAAAATAATAATATTCACCTGCACTAGTTAAAAATATTGTTTGCAATAACTTAAATAAAATTTTTAATTTAGAAATTAAACAAAAAAACACAGTACTATATCACATTGATTAAGTTTTATTTCTGTTTTTTTTAAAGAATAATTTTACGTGATGTGCATATTGATTAGTCAGGAGTTGGCACTGCAGTAAATCCCATTGCCAAAAATCCTGAACTGACATTTAAAATGCATTATAAATCTTTACTACTTACCAATAGCTTTTGATGGTCTGTTTCGTTATTCTTCTAAACATTTTTATCAACATCCTTGATTGCGAGTGTTTTGATTCAATTTCTGGATGGGTTTCTCAAAAATACTTACAGTAAACTGGCCATTTGGTTTATTTATCTCGAATTTAGGGCTTTTTAGATCAGTTTTGATAAAAACGAATAGAATGTTCCAACGATAGCAGCAACTATGCAAAAGGTTTGTCTTGTCACTGACGGACTGTGTGCATTTAGTAATATTTCCGTGTGTTCCCTACAGTCGCTTTACCCTTCGTCGGTCCTAACTAAATATTTCGATCCAAGGGTCCCTTATCCCTTCATAGAGCTTTTTGGAAGCTCCCCACTAGGTGGCGTGTGATGTTAGTTCAATAAGCTCAAAATATTGACCACTATATTTTACTTCGTGTAGGTTTCTGTTTTCTGTGTTTATTTTCGATTGTTATATTTTCCTGTATATAGTTAGTTGAGTAAGTTTAAAGTAGCTAAATATATTAAGAGTCCAAGGGGGAGTTTATATACAAGGGAAATTAAATGAGGCTCAACCATCATGATGAGAATTCATTAAATCACGATTTATTATAGGATACTTCAAAAAACGTCTGTAATTAAGGGTTGAAACAGTTTATTTTCTTATAAAATCAAAGTATTTTTGCTTTTAATTTTTAATCTTTGAAATATACAGGGGGAGACTTAAATAAGTGCAAATATTTTTAGGGGTAGTATATTTCGACCCGAGAAACACGATTCTGAGGGTTTTTTTTTCGCGAACAAAATTGAAAATTTGGAATTTGAAAAAAAAATGGATTTTTTTTTAGTTTTTAGTTAAAAAACATAATTTCTTGATAATATGGCAACATAGGTAGTAGATTAAAATTTCAAGAAACAAAAAAGATCTAGTGATTGTCAAAATTTTAGCAAAAAGCATTTTTTTTGTAAATTTTCAAAATAAAATAACTCGTTTATTTTTGACTTATTTGAAAAACGACAAAGGGAAAATTTGTTACTTTTATCGATATCTACCAGCACTGAAAATATTTGCACTTATTTAAGACTCACCCTGTATATATAAGATTTCCTATTTTTTTTTTCTAAAATTTCTTTCACAATTAGAAGAATTAGGACTATCCGGTATAGGAAATAATATACTATCTATTTATAGTAAATAACATTTATTGATGACTATTTTAATTACTAAAATTAGTTATTATTTTACAAGTTATACATAAAATCACGTTATGGAGAGATTGTTTTTTATTTTTCCATAAACTTTGTATGGGCCTCAAACTTCAGTGATAAATTTGAGAAAGTTTAGGGAAAATTAAAAAAGGATAAATAAATAAAAGGAGAATGAGTACACGATCTTAAATACCTCCGTTATCTATAGTATATTGCACATAAAAATTAGAGATCAAAATTATTATTTTACAAGATATTTCGAAGACTTACTTACACCACATTGTTTGAAATAAATATTATATAAAAATTATTATAACTGTGCTCGGCAGAAAATTTTTGATTTTCTTTATTATGTTTCGAAGGATTGTTTTTTTGTACAAGAAGCATAGGCGCCGGTTTTGAGGGGTGAAATTATTGAAAATTTGTTTCTTTCAGGAAAAATAATACTTAATATGAGACTATGTACATAAAGCGGCATTTATTTTAAACCAATAGTCGTGTCATAAATTATTTTTTGTTTGGGAAAAAGTCAGTGGAGCAGATCTGTAGTTCTTTGGGGGGCTTTTAAAAAATAGCATGATCATAGATAAATATAATTAGGCAGGTGATGATATCGAATTTTGATTTTAACTTTGATCTATTTTTAAATTTTTTCAGATATTTCCATATGAACCTGCTTAATACTTTTATTTTTGATCATACGTTAAAAAATAACAGCAAAATAAACTTAGAGGGAGTTTTTAATACAGGGGTCACAATAGTTTGGATGTATATACAGGGACTGACATTGACGGTCTGATAAACGGGCTTATGAAGTGGTGTATATCCCGTTCGGGGGGATAACCAGTTCCTGTTGATCCCGATTGAGATGTTGAGCTGTATTCGCTGTCCATCCCAGACGATGAACTCTCGTGTAGTTTCCTCATGTGCTTTTTCAAGTCAAAGTTTCTACAAAACCCTTTGCCACATACCCTGCAAGTAAAGGGCTTCTTGTCGTTGTGAGTGTGCATGTGGAAGGTCAAATTATATACTTGGTGAAACGCTTTGGAACATACAGTACATTTATACGCCTTTTCTCCGCTGTGAGTCAGTTTGTGATTCTTATAGTTCCCTTTTTGGTGGAAACCTTTCCCGCAAAACTCACAAACGAACGGCTTGTACCCTGCGTGAATCCTCGCGTGAGTATTTAGAGTAGAAGACCTGTTAAAGGCTTTTCCACACGTATGACACTTGTGAGGTTTTTCAGACGTGTGAATGATTTTGTGCCTGCAAAGTGTGGAAGCCTGTCTGAATCCTTTTCCGCAGATTTTACAGACGAAAGGTCTAGCGCCTGTGTGGACAGGCATGTGTCTGGTGAGGTTGTAGTGAGCGTTGAAGATCTTCCCGCACTCCCCACACTCGAAGCTTTTTTGTTTTGGTGGTGTGAGCAATGTATGAGAAGATGCCGAGGAATTTGAGTTATTCGATGCTGGTTTTGATGAGGATTTCAAAGAGTTTGTTTTGGTCGAAGGGTTGTATGGTACTTGAGGTGGTAGAGGAGGCGTGTTTCCGCTTGGTTCTTGTATGGGTGAGTTGTAAACAGACATGGACCCGAGCATCAGCTGACTAGGATGGTAGTAGACTAGAGGATAGTTTTGTAGGAGGTCTGGAGATCTGAGTACGTTGGGGACGTATTTTTTAAAGGCGGATTCGAATGCGGGAGAGTGAGGAAACGTCAGACTTTTATCCCTTTCCGCTTCTTTTTTCTTTTGTTTGCCGTCTGGCTCCATTATCTTCGCTATAGAAAAGTTGAGTGTCCTCGAAGGAGGTGAAGCAGCCGCTTGGCTCTCGCCGTACAATTTCGTTGACGTTTCTGATGAAGCCATATTTTTTCTTTGGTGGCACATCTGAAAATAAATTCCTTTATTTAGCTCATTTTATTTGATTGCTCCCTAAACGTAATTTTTTAATAAATCACTTTTTTTTTTTTCAAACGTCACAAAAGTATTAATTTTTGCGACGTGATTGACAATATAAAAAAGTCATTTTAATGCCTAGGCATAAAAGTAAAGCAGTTTTACGCCTAAGCATAAAAGTACGCAAATATATTATTAAACTGACATAAAGTGTCAAATTCAACGAGCAGTAACCATAGTTTCTCGATATATAATTACATACAAGGTATGACTTTTAAATCTTTTTATATTATTTGAAATTGTTTAAAAACTTATTTGTAGCGTTTGAAAAAAAATAGCATGTTCCATTCGGAGTAAAAATGACTTTTTGTTCCTCGGCCGTGTGTAACGTACGCCACGAAAAGTGTCATTTTTACTCCTAATAAAACAATGCACTATTATATCGAACAATAACATCATGTCAATATAAAACAGTTAGAAATAAATAAAGCATAATAAATATAAATACTTCATTTTGTTTATCTAGAAATAAAATTTACTTCATAGCGTTTCAATAAATAAAATACTGATTTGTTTATTTTGTATTGCCAATAAAATATTGCACAAATATTATCAAAAAACGGATTAAGTACATTTATCTTGTTTTTTAAACCATTAAAAAGATTTGATATATTTTTAAAAAATAGTGTATAGGTTTTTTAGAGTATCATTGAAATGTATGTTATGTATCTCATCTGACTTATAATGGATTGCTTTCTGATAATAGTTTAAACAAAATATATCTAGGATGCAGTTTGATATTTTAGTATAAGAGATTTTGGATACTTTCAGGTATACTTATCTCTACAAAGTACTCTAAAATGTTCTCGAAATAGAAAAAAAAAACAAGGCTTTATTGTACAAAAAGCCAAAACAGCTTCATCGACAAAGCAAAACAAAAAAAGCACAAAAATAAATATACAAATAATACAAAAAATGTCATACAATACAAATCAATTCAAAAAAAAAACTTTTACGTCATAAAATTACAAATAAAACATATATGGACATTGCAGAACACAGGCGTATCTAGAAAATTTTACAAAAGGAAAACTGTAAATGGATAAAATCATGTTATAATAACATAAAATCAAGAGTTATAAAATATTAAATACTAGACCTTTAACCAGTGTGTGAGATGATCAAAATATTAAAATTAAAATTCTAAATTGTTCATGATTAAACATCAACAAAAAAAGTCGTTTACCGCATATAGGGCTCTCTCCAGTAAGTATGATTTCAGAGCTTTGCGAAATGCGGGAAAGAATGAAAGTGACTTGATATTCGAAGGCAAATGATTGTACATTTTCTTGGCATTGTACAGTATTGAGCCCTTAACTAGTTCTGAGCTCGGGGTTGGCAGATAAATATCGTGCTCCGCATTCCTAAGTGGATAGTTGTGAGGAGGCCTTTCCGGAATAGAGAATTCATATATACTAATAAACTATATGGAACATCATATAGTTTATGAGTCATTATTTTTTATATCTTCTGATGGTAGAAATCGATGAGCGAAAGAAACATCTGAAAAAAAAAAGAATTGTACGAATAGAACAGGCTGCAAATTGGGTGTCGGACCAAGAAGAAAAACGTTTTAAACCGGCTAATATATGTATTAAAGCTCGTATGAGAGAAAAACAGTCTTTTCCAGTAGAACAGGAAGTGGTGGATTTGGAACAAAGGCCAGACAAGCGGAGACAAAAGTCAATTAGGACAGAGATCGGGGGGCGAACGATTGACGACAATCGCCCGGCCACCGGTCTTGTTAATCCGGTCTCCCGGAAACCGCCCCGCGTTGCGCCACCCCCAGGGAGCGGCGGAGGCAAACAGGGCGCGAGCAGTTTGTTTGCGCCGCGGATTGCGCCGCAGGCCTGCCGCCGCCGAACCGTGAACGATCAACTGCGCCCGAATTGATGCGAAGCGGCGCCCTCGGTCCCCCCAGAGACGGACCCGCCACCCGGTGCTACCGCCCTTCGTCGCCCGATCCGCCGCTCATTCCAGTGGCGTTCGTTTGTTTTTTCTTAAGAGTGATAAGGTGTTCTGGTGTTTCCCCATTTTCCCCACAGAATCTGCATTCGTCGTTGTTTCTCAGCTTCAATCTACTGAGGTGTTCGTTGAGGAGACAGTGTCCTGTTAGAAACCCCGTGATAATCCGAAGACTGTTCTTACTTAAATCAAGGAAAATCTTTGGTTCTGCGAAACTTTTTCGAGTGTCTTAGACCGTTGGAGGATTCCTATTCCAGGTTCCAGGTATGGCAGCATAGTTCCTCCGGTTCTAGCCTTACCAGTTCTTTCCCAAATAGGGAGTGTTGCTTGCTATCCAGAGATCACATCTGAAGACTTAGATGGCTTCTTAGACATTCTATCATATTTTAACTCTTACTTTTGTTGTCAGAAGAAGTTCATTAAGAAATTTAACAAGGATCTAGGTACATTGATTCTCCTGATCATATGTTCCATCCACTTCTCTTTAATAATTCATTAGGGGAGAGTTTCAGTATAACAATGCTCCTGATTGTATATTGTAGACACACATTTGAAGACATGAAGGATTCCTGTACACCTTCTGGCAGTGCAACTAGAGGTATTTTAAATCTATTTTCATTATATTTTTGCCGGAAAGATCATTAACTACTTTATTAGAGGAGGTTTTTGATGAAACGATGCTCCTGATGGCATTGTCCATCTACATCTGAAGACGTCTAACTAAAAAAAATATGTTTTCCTAGACTATACATCAAATAATCCCTAAATCCCTCAAGTGGCAATGTGCAGGACACCTGGCAAGAATGTCTGATAACAGATGGACCACAAAAATTACAGCATGGTACCCACAAGGAATTAAGAGACTTAGAAGGAGACCAAACCTGAGATGAGATCATGATATTAGGAAATTAGCAGGGATAACTTGGGTCCGCATAGCGAACAATAGACAACTATGGGCCCAACTACAAAGCGAGTAACTAAATATATGTCAGGGATACTATGCCATAATTGGAAATGGTTGAATACGCTAAAAATGATGATGATGACATCAAACAATTAGGTAATGTCAGAAGACCTCAGTCATTAACAATCATTATCTAATAAAGTAGAATGAGATGACTTTAAAGTGATTGTTTATAATAAAGGATAACTTTTTGGTGTAAAATATTTTTTATGTAGGTTCTATTTTCATTTCCGTTTCTTTTGTTAGAGTATTTTTCGAAACCGAACAATAATCATCAAAAAGCACGAATCGAGCAAAACGTTCACGCATTTATTTGTTCTCAAACCCATTCCGTGCTTTCCCCCATTCCTTGGCAAATTGCGTATGCATTCAGCCTCGCGGATTTTCCCAAACGAAAATAAAAGCATGAAAGTCAGTCGGCCTGACGTCTTGCTTGCCGTGATTTAAAAGCTCAATCGGACAAAAAGCCGTTTAGAACCGATGCGATGGGGCGTGGCCCCATTTCCAAAACCTCAACTTCAATCTCTCTGTCACAGATCCGAACGAAATGTACGAAAGGTGAAGATTATTCGACGGATCTGGTGCTCTTTGTCGTCGATTTCTGCATGATTTCCATTTAATTTGTTGTTTCGCAATGCTTGAAGAAATATTTCCTTCTAGGGATTCTAAATCTACATAAAATTTAGTAAGTATGATGATCGCCGACAATAGCTCAAAACAAAGGTCCTAAATAAATAATTTTCTCACAAAACCAAGATATTTAAGTATATATTCTGAATCTACATAAAATTTCCTACAATTGCTGAAATTTTCATGATTTTATTTCTATGATTACTATTTTTCTGACAGCCTTGAATATCAGTAAAAAATGCCCATTTTGGGTCATTTTTTCGAATCGTGAAAATAGTCGATTTTCGTCATGTCTCCGATTTTGTTAAAACTGCCGTTATTTACTAATTAAAAAGCGCAGAATAAGAAAATATAGGCCGTTATGGTCTTACGAGAACAGTAATGGATCTTGGGGACGTTTTAATCTTCATCGAAAATAGCTCAAAACAAGGGTCCAAAAAATTAATTTTCTTACAAAACCAAGATATCTAAGTCTATAAAGGTGTATATATTCTGAATCTACATAAAATTTCCTACAAATACTGAGATTTTCATAATTTTTTTGCTACGATTACTATTTTTCTGAGGTCTTTTTTTATTATATGTATTAAAAATGTCTTTTTGAAACCGATTTTGTTAAAACTGCTGTTATTTGCTAATAAAATAAGGAATTATAGACCATTCTAGTTTTACGAGAAGACTAGTGGATATAGGAGACGTTTTAAGTTTTAACCATCATCAAACATAGCTCAAAACAAGGGTCCATAAAATTAATTTTCTCACAAAACCAGGATATCTAAGCCTATAAAGGGGTATATATTCTGCATCTACATAAAATTTTCTACAAATGCTGAAATCTTTATAAATTTATTTGTTTGATTACCATATCTCTGAGCGCTTTGAACTTGGCCAAAAATGGGCAATTTTTTACCTTTTTTCCATACATACAGTCGTGAAAATTGGCGATTTTCGTCATATCACCGATTTTGTTAAAACTGCTGTTATTTACTAATTAAAAGGCGAAGAATAAGAAAATACAAACCAAATCAAAAATGGCTCAAAAACAAGTGCCTAAAAAATTATTTTTTCCATAAAACCAAGATATCTAAGCCTTTAAAGGTCTACATATTTCGAATTTACATCAAATTTTCTACAAATTTTGAAATTTGCATAATTTTATGACGATTTTTAGTATTGTTAAAACACCTTTGAAAACGTGAAAAGGAAAGGAATAATAAAAAATAAACGTGATAAATCACAGACTGTATTTTCGCCGCCTTGCAAGAAATGCTCCTGGCTAGTAAAAGCGTGAAAGATTGATTTTAAATCGCTATGACACTCGGCAAGTGACAATCGGTTTCCAGGTTCGGTCCTAATCGCCTTAACGACAAGG